AACCCAGCCCCAGAGCCCAAACCCAGCCCCAGAGCCCAAAGCCAGCCCCAGAGCCCAAACCCAGCCCCAGAGCCCAAAGCCAGCCCCAGAGCCCAAAGCCAGCCCCAGAGCCCAAAGACAACCCCAGAGCCCAAACCCAGCCCCAGAGCCCAAAGCCAGCCCCAGAGCCCAAACTCCAACCCAGAGCCCAAAGGCAGCCCCAGAGCCCAAACTCAGCCCCAGAGCCCAAACTCAGCCCCAGAGCCCAAACTCAGCCCCAGAGCCCAAACTCAGCCCCAGAGCCCAAACTCAGCCCCAGAGCCCAAACTCAAACCCAGAGACAGAGCCTAAACCCCAACCTAGAGCCCCAATCCAGCCCCAGACCCCAAACCCAGCCCCAGAACCCAAAGCCAGTCCCAGATCCAGACTCAGACCCAGGCATAGACCCAGACCCCAAACACAGACCCCAAACACAGACCCGAGTCCAGACCCAAACCCAGACCCCAAACCCAGACCCCGATGCAAACCCAGACCACAAAGCCAGACCCAAACCTAGACCCTGACCCAGACCCCAGACACAGACCTAGACCCTGACTCAGACCCAGAGCCCAAAGCCCGAGCGAGAGCCCAGCCCCAGAGCCCAGGACCAGGGACACGGCCCCTTCCCCCCAGGGACTCCCAGCTCGCCCTCCCCGGGAGGAGGTGACAGGAGCTGGCCGGGACCCAGCCGGGGCTGGAGGGGACGCGGTCCCTTCGCCCGATCCCGGGAGAGGCGGGTCCGGCACCGGGATGGGGGGGGGCACCGGCTGCATCCCACCCACCCCGACCCTGGCTCCATCCCGGCTCCATCCTCCTCCTGGCCCCCTCCCGGGTCCCCCGGTACCTCCCTTCCCCTCACCTGTCCCGGAGAGTCCCTTCGTACCCTTTATCCCCCTCACCTGTCCGGGAGGGTCCCTCTGTACCCCTCATTCCCCTCACCTGTCCCGGTGTCCCCCCGTTCCCCTCATCCCCCTCACCCGTCCCGGTGTCCCCGCTCCTCTCCCGATATCCCCTCACCCGTCCCGGTGTCCCCTCACCCGTCCCGGTGTCCCCGTTCCTCTCCCGGTGTCCCCTCACCCGTCCCGGTGTCCCCGCTCCTCTCCCGATATCCCCTCACCCGTCCCGGTGTCCCCGCTCCTATCCCGGTGTCCCCGCTCCTCTCCCGGTGTCCCCGTTCCTCTCCCGGTGTCCCCGCTCCTCTCCCGGTGTCCCCTCACCCGTCCCGGTGTCCCCTCACCCGCTCCGGTGTCCCCTCACCCGTCCCGGTGTCCCCTCACCCGTCCCGGTATCCCCTCACCCGTCCGGTGTCCCTGCTCCTCTCCCGGTGTCCCCGCTCCTCTCCCGGTGTCCCCTCACCCGTCCCGGTGTCCCCTCACCCGTGCCGGTGTCCCCTCACCCGTGCCGGTGTCCCCTCACCCGTGCCGGTGTCCCTCACCCGTGCCGGTGTCCCCGCTCCTCTCCCGGTGTCCCCTCACCCGTCCCGGTGTCCCCGCTCCTCTCCCGGTGTCCCCTCACCCGTTCCGGTGTCCCCTCACCCGTCCCGGTGTCCCCGCTCCTCTCCCGGTGTCCCCGCTCCTCTCTCGGTGTCCCCTCACCCGTCCCGGTGTCCCCTCACCCGTCCCGGTGTACCCGCTCCTCTCCCGGTGTCCCCGCTCCTCTCTCGGTGTCCCCTCACCCGTCCCGGTGTCCCCTCACCCGTCCCAGTGTCCTCTCACCTCTCCCGGTGTCCCCGCTCCTCTCCCGGTGTCCCCTCTCCTCTCCCGGTGTCCCCTCACCCGTGCCGGTGTCCCCTCACCCGTTCCGGTGTCCCCTCTCCTCTCCCGGTGTCCCCTCACCCGTGCCGGTGTCCCCTCACCCGTGCCGGTGTCCCCTCACCGGTCCCGGTGTCCCCGCTCCTCTCCCGGTGTCCCCTCACCCGTCCCGGTGTCCCCTCACCCGTGCCGGTGTCCCCTCACCCGTGCCGGTGTCCCCTCACCGGTCCCGGTGTCCCCGCTCCTCTCCCGGTGTCCCCTCACCCGTTCCGGTGTCCCCTCACCCGTCCCGGTGTCCCCTCACCCGTCCCGGTGTCCCCTCACCGGTCCCGGTGTCCCCGCTCCTCTCCCGGTGTCCCCTCACCCGTCCCGGTGTCCCCTCACCCGTCCCGGTGTCCCCGCTCCTCTCCCGGTGTCCCCTCACCCGCTCCGGTGTCCCCTCACCGGTCCCGGTGTCCCCGCTCCTCTCCCGGTGTCCCCTCACCCGTCCCGGTGTCCCCTCACCCGTCCCGGTGTCCCCGCTCCTCTCCCGGTGTCCCCGCTCCTCTCCCGGTGTCTCCGCTCCTCTCCCGGTGTCCCCTCCCCGCTCCTCTCCCGGTGTCCCCGCTCCTCTCCCGGGTCCCCCCGGGCAGCAAAAGCCTCGGCGGGGCCGGGCCGGGCCGACCGCGGTTTCCTGGGCTCCGCTGGCCCCGCCCAGGCGGCGGAACCGACCAATGGGAGCCCGCACGGGAGGGAGCGGCCAATGAGCGCGGTCGTGGGCGGGGCGACCGGCTGTCAGTCAAAGCAAGAGGCTCCGCCCCCGCCCGCGTGTCCGAGCGGCGCGTCCCGAGAGAGCTCCCGGTTCTGGGTCTGTCCCGTCCTGTCCCAATCCCATCCCATCCCATCCTGTCCTACCCCATCCCATCCATCCTGTTCTACCTCATCCCATCCTGTCCTACCCCATCCCATCCCATCCCTGTCCCGAGAGAGCTCCCGGCTCTGGGTCTGTCCCGTCCCATCCCATCCCATCCATCCTGTTCTACCTCATCCCATCCTGTCCTACCCCATCCCATCCCATCCCTGTCCCGAGAGAGCTCCCGGCTCTGGGTCTGTCCCGTCCTATCCCATCCCATCCTGTCCTACCCCATCCCATCCATCCCATCCATCCTGTCCTACCCCATCCCATCCTGTCCTACCCCATCCCATCCCATCCCATCCCATCCCATCCCATCCCATCCCATCCCATCCCAGTCCCGAGAGAGCTCCGGCTCCGGGTCTGTCCTGATCCTGTCCCATCCATCCTGTCCTACCCCATCCCATCCCATCCATCCCATCCCATCCCATCCATCCATCCCATCCCATCCATCCTGTCCTACCCCATCCCATCCCATCCATCCTGTCCTACCCCATCCCATCCCATCCCATCCCATCCCATCCCATCCCATCCCATCCCATCCCATCCCATCCATCCTGTCCTACCCCATCCCATCCCATCCATCCTGTCCTACCCCATCCCATCCCATCCCATCCCATCCCATCCCATCCATCCCATCCCATCCCATCCCATCCATCCTGTCCTACCCCATCCCATCCCATCCATCCTGTCCTACCCCATCCCATCCCATCCCATCCCATCCCATCCCCATGCTGTCCCGTGTCCCATTCCCGTCCCATCCCGTGTCCCATTCCCGTCCCATCCCGTGTCCCATTCCCGTCCCATCCTGTCCCGTGTCCCATTCCCGTCCCATCCCGGCGCTGACGGCACCGCAGCCAACGCTGAGCGCTGTTTAATTAACGGAACGACAAACGGACATTCCCAATTAAAAACTCCAACCGCATTCCCAATTAGAAACTCCAATTTCCGCAGGAAACCTCCAGCTCTCCCTGCCCTTCCCTCCCATTCCCGGGAAATTAACACTTATTCAATGGAAAGGGAACTGGCACCGCCTCCAACTCCTGCAATTAACCCTGTAAGTCCTTCCAGTAATTAATTAACCACTTAAGCACTTCCAGTAATTAATTAACTGCTTAAGCACTTCCAGGTTCACTGGAAGAGGCGCTGTCACAGCACTTCGGAATTGCACGTGGATACAGGGTAGGGAATCTGGAGTTAAAGGAATCAGAAATCCCTGGATTTTCTGGCAGGGAATCTGGAGTTGAAGGAATCAGAAATGCCTGGATTTTCTGGCAGGGAATCTGGAGTTAAAGGAATCAGAAATGCCTGGATTTTCTGGCAGGGAATCTGGAGTTAAAGGCAGCAGAAATTCCAGGATTTTCTGGTAGGGAATCTGGAGTTAAAGGAATCAGAAATGCCAGGATTTTCTGGCAGGGAATCTGGAGTTGAAGGAATCAGAAATGCCTGGATTTTCTGGTAGGGAATCTGGAGTTAAAGGCAGCAGAAATCCCTGGATTTTCTGGTAGGGAATCTGGAGTTAAAGGAATCAGAAATTCCTAAATTTTCTGGCAGGGAATCTGGAGTTAAAGGAATCAGAAATCCCTGGATTTTCTGGCAGGGAATCTGGAGTTAAAGGAATCAGAAATGCCTGGATTTTCTGGCAGGGAATCTGGAGTTAAAGGAATCAGAAATTCCAGGATTTTCTGGCAGGGAATCTGGAGTTGAAGGAATCAGAAATGCCTGGATTTTCTGGCAGGGAATCTGGAGTTAAAGGAATCAGAAATCCCTGGATTTTCTGGCAGGGAATCTGGAGTTAAAGGAATCAGAAATTCCTAAATTTTCTGGCAGGGAATCTGGAGTTAAAGGAATCAGAAATTCCTAAATTTTCTGGCAGGGAATCTGGAGTTAAAGGAATCAGAAATCCCTGGATTTTCTGGCAGGGAATCTGGAGTTAAAGGCAGCAGAAATGCCAGGATTTTCTGGCAGGGAATCTGGAGTTGAAGGAATCAGAAATTCCTGGATTTTCTTGCTGGGAATCTGGAGTTAAAGGCAGCAGAAATCCCTGGATTTTCTGGTAGGGAATCTGGAGTTAAAGGAATCAGAAATTCCAGGATTTCCTGGCAGGGAATCTGGAGTTAAAGGAATCAGAAATTCCAGGATTTTCTGGCAGGGAATCTGGAGTTGAAGGAATCAGAAATGCCTGGATTTTCTGGCAGGGAATCTGGAGTTAAAGGAATCAGAAATCCCTGGATTTTCTGGCTGGGAATCTGGAGTTAAAGGAATCAGAAATGCCTGGATTTTCTGGCAGGGAATCTGGAGTTAAAGGAATCAGAAATGCCTGAATTTTCTGGCAGGGAATCTGGAGTTAAAGGAATCAGAAATTCCTAAATTTTCTGGCAGGGAATCTGGAGTTAAAGGAATCAGGAATCCCTGGATTTTCTGGCAGGGAATCTGGAGTTAAAGGAATCAGAAATGCCTGGATTTTCTGGCAGGGAATCTGGAGTTAAAGGAATCAGAAATTCCAGGATTTTCTGGCAGGGAATCTGGAGTTAAAGGAATCAGGAATCCCTGGATTTTCTGGCAGGGAATCTGGAGTTAAAGGAATCAGAAATGCCTGGATTTTCTGGCAGGGAATCTGGAGTTAAAGGCAGCAGAAATCCCTGGATTTTCTGGCAGGGAATCTGGAGTTAAAGGCAGCAGAAATTCCAGGATTTTCTGGTAGGGAATCTGGAGTTAAAGGCAGCAGAAATCCCTGGATTTTCTGACAGGGAAGAACCACAAACAACTCATCAAACCCTCCAAGTGTCCCAGCAGGAAAAGCAAACACTGGAACAGCCAGGAAACTCTGGGAATCACCTCCAGGACTGGGCAGGTTTTGGGGGACCAGGATAAAAATTCCAAAGGCTCTGTGGGAATGAGCTTTGCTCCACCCCCATCAGGACACGGACGTGCCCGGAGTCAACCCCAAAACCCCTTTTAGGGGTTTTCTGGTCCCACCTGCCGGGCCCTGAATCTTCCAGCTGGGCTTTCCTGGCTTTTCCTTCCCTAAAAACACGCTGGGAAGTGCTGAGGGAGCGGAACAGATCCCTGGGGACCAACAGGCAGGTGGGAGAATTCCAGGAGATGTTTGGCAGCTAAAACTGCTCCTTGGGCTCGCTGAGCTTCCTCCTCTTGGGCAGCACGTCCTGGCTGGAGGAGAGCTCGGCCTGGTGCACCTGCAGGGAGAACCACGTGGGAATTACGGGGAATTCCAGGTGCTGGACAGGGAACAGCCCCCCCCAGAGCAGGACAGAGCCCTGATCCAGAGGAGCTGGGCCTGCAGGAACAGCTGGATAGGGATTTTCTGGCAGGGTTTTTCTGAGGGGTTGAAGGAAGGTTGGGATGTGTCCCTCCCTGCTGGGATGTGCTCCTGGGTGGGAATTTCACGGGAGAAATCCTTCCCTGTGGGGGTGGACAGGTTATTCCATGGATGCACCGTCCCTGGAAGTGTCCCAGGCCAGGCTGGAGCAACCTGGGATAGAGGGAGGTGTCCCTGTCCCTGGCAGGGGGTGGGACTGGATGAGCTCCAAGGTCCCTTCCAAGCCAACCCATTCCCTGATTCCAAGGTCTGTTCCCAGCCAGGGTCCCATTCCATGGGTTCTGTCCCAGGAAACCCCCTGACTGTGACATCAGGAATCAAAGAATCGTGGCATGGTTTGGGAGGGACCCAAAGCCCAGCCAGTCCCCACCCCCTGCCAGAATCCCCCCCTCCCAAATTCAGTGGGAATTGAGTGATGAGAATTCCATAATTCCACCTCAGGGGGTTTGTTCCACTGCTTGGGAGAGAAAAAGAACAGGAAACAGGAAGAATAAAGCTAAAAAAACAGCACCACGTGGTACTAACAAGGCAGCTCTGAAATATCTTCCCACTCCTCGTCCTGCTCTCTGACACAACCAGCTCAGACGTTTTTCGGGCCAAATGATCCACCTGAAAGCAGAAAACAAAGGGGTTTTTTCTGGGTTAAATCAAGCTGTTAAGTGGTAACAACGCTCCAGGAGTTTCCTGAAATCTGAAAATGAAGTTTTCTGTTGTGACAGCAGCAAAAAAAAATACATATTTAGAGACCAAGGGAAGTAAAAAGGGATTTTTGTTGCTGGAAGTGGTGACTGCAGCAGATTAATCACTGTTAGGGGAGGAAAAGAAGCTCCACAAAAGCTCCCTAAAGGTTGAAGACAAGGAAGGAGAGTTTTTCCTACCTGAGGGTTACAAACATTGGGAGTGTGGATCCCTCCAGCTTCCTCTCCACAGGTGGAGTTCGTTTCTAAAAGAAGGAAAGAGCTGAGGAGTCAAATCGAGCTGTTTGGTCACCGTTAACAACCAGCCCTGCCCCGAGGAACACGGAAAATTCCGGGAACAGGGAATGCCAGAGGGCTCAGGGGAGCTCCAGCAAGTCCCAAACTCCAGCAAGGATTAAATTCAACCTTAAATTCAGCCATTTTCCAAACTAAACTCCAGCAAGGATTAAAATTGAACCTTATATTCAGATATTTTCCTGCCCTAAACTCCAGCAAGGATTAAATTCAACCTTAAATTCAGACATTTCCTAAACTAAACTCCAGCAAGGATTAAATTCAACCTTAAATTCAGACATTTTCCTGCCCTAAACTCCACCAAGCATTAAATTCAATCTCAAATTCAGCCATTTCCCAGCCCTAAACTCCAGCAAGGATTAAAATTCAGTCTTAAATTCAGACATTTCCTTTCCCAAACTCCAGCAAGGATTAAATTCAACCTTAAATTCAGACATTTCCCTGCCCAAACTCCAGCAAGGATTAAATTCAACCTTAAATTCAGCCATTTCCTAAACTAAACTCCAGCAAGCATTAAATTCAACCTTAAATTCAGCCATTTCCTAAACTCCAGCAAATATTCAAATTCAACCTTAAATTCAGCCATTTCCTAAACTAAACTCCAGCAAGGATTAAATTCAACCTTAAATTCAGACATTTTCCTGCCCTAAACTCCAGCAAGGATTAAATTTAACCTTAAATTCATTTTCCTGTCCTAAACTCCAGCAAGCATTAAATTCAACCTTAAATTCAGCCATTTCCTAAACTAAACTCCACCAAGGATTAAATTCAACCTTAAATTCAACCTTAAATTCAGCCATTTCCCTGTTCTAAACTCCAGCAAGGATTAAAATTCAATCTTAAATTCAGCCATTTCCTAAACTAAACTCCAGCAAGGATTAAATTCAACCTTAAATTCAGACATTTCCTAAACTAAACTCCAGCAAGGATTAAAATTCAACCTTAAATTCAGCCATTTCCTAAACTAAACTCCAGCAAGGATTAAAATTCAACCTTAAATTCAGCCATTTCCTAAACTAAACTCCAGCAAGGATTAAATTCAACCTTAAATTCAGACATTTCCCTGCCCTAAACTCCAGCAAGGATTAAAATTCAACCTTAAATTCAGCCATTTCCTGCCCTAAACTCCAGCAAGGATTAAATTCAACCTTAAATTCAGCCATTTCCTAAACTAAAAACCCAAAACAACCCCAACCTTTGAAATCCTTTCTGGAAAGGAGCTCCAGGGTTGTCTGGGAGTTCCAAAGCTGCCCCAAAACAACCCCAACATCTGAAATCCTTTCTGGAAAGGAGCTCCAGGGTTGTCTGGGTGTTCCAAAGCTGCCCCAAAACAAACCCCAAACCCAACATCTGAAATCCTTTCTGGAAAGGAGCTCCAGGGTTGTCTGGGAGTTCCAAAGCTGCCCCAAAACAACCCCAACATCTGAAATCCTTTCTGGAAAGGAGCTCCAGGGTTGTCTGGGAGTTCCAAAGCTGCCCCAAAACAAACCCCAAACCCAACATCTGAAATCCTTTCTGGAAAGGAGCTCCAGGGTTGTCTGGGTGTTCCAAAGCTGCCCCAAAACAACCCCAACATCTGAAATCCTTTCTGGAAAGGAGCTCCAGGGTTGTCTGGGAGTTCCAAAGCTGCCCCAAAACAACCCCAACATTCTAAATCCTTTCTGGAAAGGAGCTCCAGGGTTGTCTCAGTGTTCCAAAGCTGCCCCAAAACAAACCCAACATCTGAAATCCTTTCTGGAAAGGAGCTCCAGGGTTGTCTGGGTGTTCCAAAGCTGCCCCAAAACAAACCCCAAACCCAACCTTTGAAATCCTTTCTGGAAAGGAGCTCCAGGCTTGTCTGGGTGTTCCAAAGCTGCCCCAAACAAACCCAACCCCAACCTTTGAAATCCTTTCTGGAAAGGAGCTCCAGGGTTGTCTGGGTGTTCCTCCATGGAGCAGAAATTCCCTCTCCAGTGTGAAGAAAATAATGCAGATGGGAATAGAGAAAAATGAGGGGTTTGTTCCAGGAAAGAGGCAACTCAGAGACTTGAAAATCACCCTGAATGTTACCTTGAGCTTCTGAAACGTTCTCGTGGTTCTCCTCCACCACCCTGTTATCCGGGACAGGATCCTCCTGGAGGAGGAAACGGGGCTGTCACTCAGTGCAGGCACAGCAGGAAGGAGGTTTCTCCTCAGATTTTTTTTTTTGGGTGGATTTGGGGTGGAACAAAGTGCAGTGAAATAACGGGTTGGGAAGTGGCAGAGGTTTCATCCTCCCCTCTGCTGCTCCCTGTCCCTGCAAAATGGAGCAGGAAAATCAAGGCACAAACGCCCTGAATTGTTTATAACTTTTGTCCTGCTTAAACCTATCTGGGATCAGAGGGGGTTTTATCAACACCCTGGTGAAATAATGACAGTTGATTTTTGTTTTTTTCTAGGTGATACAGCAAACAAAAAGCTCCACAAAACCCCCTCGTTGTTCTTACATTCATGCCCTGGATCTCCCCTCCTGGCTCCTCCCTCCTTCCCTGCCTCAGGATGTTTCTGTCCACGTTCTCCATGCGCTGCTTCTCGGTGGTGATCTTGAGTTTCAGCAGGTGGAAGGGGGTGGGCACCTCCCCCACGTTCAGGTAGGTGGGCTCCTCGTTAAACATCAGCCCCTCGCACTTGGCCTCCCTGAAGCCGGGGGTTGGTAATCAGGGGGGGTCACTGCAGAGGGGAAGCCACGAGAGGGGTCACAGCCTTGTAAAATTAATGTTCAAACTCTTAAATATAAGAAAAAAATGGGGTGTGGGGAGGGGAATAATCAATACTGAGCTTGGAGTTAAGTGAAGCTCTTTGTGCTGAGCAGGCAAAGGTGTTTGAGAAGGGGTGGGGAGATAAAATTGAGATATAAAATCCTGACTTGTCACGATAAGGAAACGACACACTTCGTAAGCAGGGCCGGAGGTCTGGAGAGTCACCAGCCTCGAACCGGGCTGGGAAAAGTGTGGGGCAGCCTAAATGCAGGGTGGGAAACTCCCGGGGAAATCCCTGCCTCGAGGAAGGCGGGGCCAGGACCGAGATCCTGCAGCAGGATCGTGTTCCTGCAGCAGGATCATCCCCCTGCCCCGAGGAAGGCGGGGCCAGGATCGAGATCCTGCAGCAGGATCGTGTTCCTGCAGCAGGATCATCCCCTGCCCCGAGGAAGGCGGGGCCAGGATCGAGATCCTGCAGCAGGATCCTGTTCCTGCAGCAGGATCATCCCCCTGCCCCGAGGAAGGCGGGGCCAGGGTCGAGATCCTGCAGCAGGATCGTGTTCCTGCAGCAGGATCATCCCCCTGCCGGGCCCGAGGAAGGCGGGGCCAGGATCGAGATCCTGCAGCAGGATCGTGTTCCTGCAGCAGGATCATCCCCCTGCCCCGAGGAAGGCGGGGCCAGGATCGAGATCCTGCAGCAGGATCGTGTTCCTGCAGCAGGATCATCCCCCTGCCGGGCCCGAGGAAGGCGGGGCCAGGATCGAGATCCTGCAGCAGGATCGTGTTCCTGCAGCAGGATCATCCCCCTGCCCCGAGGAAGGCGGGGCCAGGATCGTGTTCCTGCAGCAGGATCGTGTTCCTGCAGCAGGATCATCCCCCTGCCCCGAGGAAGGCGAGGCCAGGATCGTGTTCCTGCAGCAGGATCGTGTTCCTGCAGCAGGATCATCCCCCTGCCCCGAGGAAGGCGGGGCCAGGGTCGAGATCCTGCAGCAGGATCGTGTTCCTGCAGCAGGATCATCCCCCTGCCCCGAGGAAGGCGGGGCCAGGATCGAGATCCTGCAGCAGGATCGTGTTCCTGCAGCAGGATCGTGTTCCTGCAGCAGGATCATCCCCCTGCCCCGAGGAAGGCGGGGCCAGGATCGTGTTCCTGCAGCAGGATCATCCCCCTGCCCCGAGGAAGGCGGGGCCAGGACCGAGATCCTGCAGCAGGATCGTGTTCCTGCAGCAGGATCATCCCCCTGCCCCGAGGAAGGCGGGGCCAGGGTCGAGATCCTGCAGCAGGATCGTGTTCCTGCAGCAGGATCATCCCCCTGCCCCTTGCAATGACATCATTTCCCAGGGCCCAGGAAACACAAAGGTTGGGCAGTGCAGCGTTTCTCTGCTTTGCCAGCAGGGCTGGGGGCGCGGGGGGCAGGGCACGGTACCCTCATCGTAGTAGAGCAGCTTCATGGTGAGGCAGACGTCGCTGGGCAGCGGGCTGAGGTTCTGCATCAGCACGAAGATCTTGCGGATGAGCAGGATGCTCGCCCGCTTCGTGTCCGCGCACGGGATGGGCGAGCCCGAGCGCTCCCTGCTGGGAACAGCCCAGGGGAGAGGCGGTGAGCGGAGCAGGGGGTGCAGAGATGGGGGGTGGATGGGGAGGGGAGGGGAAAGAAGGAGGAGAAGGAGGAGAAGGAGAAGAGAAGGAGGAGAAGAGAGGGAGATGAAGGAGCAGAGAGAAGAGAAGAGAAGAGAAGAGAAGAGAAGAGAAGAGAAGAGAAGAGAAGAGAAGAGAAGAGAAGAGAAGAGAAGAGAAGAGAAGAGAAGAGAAGAGAAGAGAAGAGAAGAGAAGAGAAGAGAAGAGAAGAGAAGAGAAGAGAAGAAGAAGAAGAGAAAGAGAAGAGAAAGAAGAAAGAGAAAGAGAAGAGAAGAGAGAGAAGAAGAAAGAAAGAAGAGAAAGAAGAAGAGAAGAGAAAGAGAAAAGATGGAAAGAGACAGAAGAAGAAAGAAGAAAAGGAGAAAGAAGGAGAAGAAGGAGAGAAAGAAGGAGAAAGAGGAGAGAGGAGGAAGAAGGAGAAGAAGGAGAAGAAGGAAAAGAAGGAGAAAAAGAAGAAGGAGAAGGAAGAAGAAGGAGAAAAGAAGGAGGAAAGAAGGAGAAAAGAAAGAAGAAAAAGAAGGAGAGAAGAAGAAAGAAGAAGAAGGAGAGAAAAGAAGAAGGAAAGGAGAAAAGAAGGAGAAGGAGAAGAAGGAAAAGAAGGAGAAAAGAAGAGGAGAAGAAGGAGAAAAGAAGAGGAGAAGAAGAAGAAGGTAAAGAAGGAGAAAAGAAGAAGGAAAAGAGGGAGAAAAGAAGGAAAAGAAGGAGAAAAGAAGGAAAAGAAGGAGGAGAAGGAGAAAAGAAGGAAAAGAAGAAGAAGACGGAAAAGAAGAAGGAGAAAAGAAGGAAAAGAAGAAGAAGGAGAAGAAGGAGAAAAGAAGGAGAAGAAGGAGAAAAGAAGGAGAAAAGAAGGAAAAGAAGAAGAAGACGGAAAAGGAGGAAAGAAGGAAAAAAAAGGAGAAAAGAAGGAAAAGAAGAAGGAGAAAAGAAGGAGAAGAAGGAGGAAAAGAAGGAAAAAAAGGAGGAAAGAAGGAAAAGAAGTAGAAGGAGGAGAAGGAGAAAAGAAGGAAGAAGACAGAAAAGAAGGAGAAGAAGACGGAAAAGAAGGAGGAAAGAAGGAAAAGAAGGAGGGTAGTGGGTTGAGGAAAAAAGGAGGAAAGGAGGAGGAAAAGAAGGAAAAGAAAGAGAAAAGAAGGAGGAAAGAAGAAGGAAAAGAAGGATAAGAAGAAGGAAAAGGAAAAAAGAAGAAGGAAAAGAAGGAAAGGAGGAGGAAAAAAGGAAGAAAGGAGCAGGAAAGGAAGAGGAAAGAAGGAAAGAAGGAGGAAAGGAGGAGGGAAAGAGAGAGGGAAAGCAAGAAAGAAAGAGAAAGAAAGAGAAAAGTAAATCTGATATTAAGTTTCACCCTCCACACATGGAATATCTCCAAGAACCTGGTGAGAGACATCAGGCTGACACTAAGTGGGTATTAAAACTACCAGCCTAAATCAGACTAAATGATTACTTGTATTTTAATAAGTCTAAGCCAGCTGAAAAAAAAAGAAATCAGCCTTAAGATCCAGACTTTAAAAACCCAACACCAAACAGATAAAATCCAAGGTTTTGTCACACAAAAAGGGGGCTGGAAAAGCAGGCAGGGAAAGGCCTGGGGCTGTACCTGCCGAAATCCAGGAGTGGCCCGTGCTGGGTGTACTTGAACTTGAAGTGGTAACACTCTGTGACTGTCTGCAAGCAAAGACAGTGGTTAATTAAACTCCCAGCCCCCAGGGCAAGTCCTGCTGCTGCTCTGGCTGCTAAACAGGCAGCAGGAACCATGTACATCAAAGAAAAGTACATTACAGGCACCCCTTAAATTAAATTACAATTAAATGTTCCAGCTGATTTACCTGAGGGTCTTCTGGCTGGGTGTAGACCTGTGTTTTTAAAGTGAAGAGAGGAATCAGAATAAGAACTCTTGGGAAAGAAATAAAAAAAAAAAAATCAGGATAAGGACTTTATCCTTTGCTTTTCAGAGATACTTACTGCCAGGACAATCTGCCTTAGCTGTCAGGGACACAAAGAGAGAAAGAAAGAGAACATTACACATATTTTAGAGCCCGTTTCTCCTGAAATATTTGCTTCTCTGGCTGTGGGAACCAACAGGTAACTAACTAAGGCTTGCTGGAAGAAAAAACTTCCAAACCACCTACAAATCCTTCAGTGCCTCTGTTTGCAAGGAATTTTATCCTGAAATTCCTGTGCTGCAGCTGATTCAGCACTGGGAAATAAGAGGCTTAAATCAGCATTCCCACACTGAGATGAGACTGCAAGACTCACGTATTTCTTCTGCAAGGCATCGTAGCAGCCCAGCATCCTGCGAAAACAAACAATACGGGCCATGAGTTGCTAATTCCCATTTGCTTCTGGCTGAAACAGCAGCAGAAAAGTGGAATTCTTGTGTCTGTTTATTGTATTAGGGCAATAAATGGTGTTTGTGGAAAATAGGGAAATCCAGACGTCACCATTTCACCAGCTGGCTGGAGCCGGGGCAGTTCTTGTCTTCCCTCAGGATTTTGACACAGACATCTCCAAAAAAAAAAAAATTAAAAAGAAAAAAAAAAAACACATTTACTTGGGGCAAAATGCATATTTTTTTAAAAAAAGTGATGTTCCCTCCTTAAAAGCACATACCAAAAAGAGGTCTAAAATTAACATTATTATTAAGTGTGAGCAGAGGTTTAATTGTTAGAGCACCAGCACTGACAAAATTCAGCGTAAGGCACGAGTGAGGTTTCCATTACAGGCATCGAAATGGTCTCAAAAGGGCTTTAAAAACACCCATCTTCTGCAAGTTACTGTGTTAACAGCCTGTTACCATCCATGTATCTGGTTCCATAGGCACTCTCAGGGAAGATTCCTCTCAGGTACGTGATGCAGGACACGGCCACTGCCAGGAGCCTCTTCACCAGCATCAGGGACTGCTGCTCCGTGCCTATTGTTTTTGGGAACACCACTGCACTCTGGAAAACCAGAGGAAGAAACCAGTTTCAGCTGTATCCACAGCACCAAACCTGTCCAGTGCCTCAATCTGAACTCAACTGAAAAGTGTGACTTATAAAGGACATTCCTGACACTTGGTGCCATTGTGTTTTTAGGACACGGCCGGTGCACGACAGCGGAATTCAGGTTATTTTTCCATTAAGCATCTTTTATTCTTAGTTAAAAGAACCGAATTAGCCTGGAGTTTTCAAATGAAGAAATATCACCTGGGTGCACTATTTCAGCCAAAATTCCCCCGTTTTTCCCATGGAAGAATAAACCATGCCAAAAACCACAACAAAACCGTACCATGCAGTTCCTTTGCTTCTGAGCAGTTGCCATTTTGCAGAGACTCTTCTTCCTGTGAATGAAACACCTGCATTAACACCTGGATGAGCACAAGGGCAGCAAGACCAGCCTGCAGCTTCCACAGGGATCTCCTGCACAACTCACCAGCTCAAACAAACCTGGAGTTTTCAGCAAACAGAGCAGGGCAGTTTGTCTGATAATCCCCAGCATCAGATCCTTGATTTCCACAGCAGCACAGGCCTCCCCCGAGGCGGCAGGATGCAGTAATTGGAATATTTATATCTGTGTTTATATGAAATACGAGCCTCCAAAGGCCACGCTCCTCAGTGCTAAACAGCACCCAGCCCACTAGATTGTCAAGAGGGCTTTAGGAAAAGGCTCCCCACGTTTCAAACAACCCCCAGGGCCTGTGTGGGCAAGGTGAGGGTGAGGGGAGCTGAGGGTGGGGGAGAGATGCTGAGGGTGAGGGGCTGCTGAGGGCTGAGGGTGAAGGGCTGAGGGTGAAGGGCTGAGGGTGAGGGGCTGCTGAGGGCCAGGGACTGAAGGCAGGGATGCTGATGGCAGGAGGTGCTGAGGGCAGGAGGTGCTGAGGGCAGGAGGTGCTGAGGGCAGGAGGTGCTGAGGGCAGGGGCTGTGGAGAATGAGGTAGCGGAGGGCAGGGGCTGCTGAGGGTGAGGTGCTGAGGGCAGGAGGTGCTGAGGGCAGGAGGTGCTGAGGGCAGGGGATGCTGAGGGCAGGAGGTGCTGAGGGCAGGAGGGTGCTGAGGCAGGAGGCCGTGGAGGGGATGAGGCTGAGGGCGGGAGGTGCTGAAGGCAGGGGCTGTGGAGGATGAGGAGCTGAGGGCAGGGGATGCTGAGGGCAGGAGGTGCTGAGGGCAGGAGGTGCTGAGGGCAGGAGGTGCTGAGGGCAGGACTGCTGAGGGCGGAGGTGCTGGAGGGCAGGGGCAGTGCTGAGGCAGGGGATGCTGAGCAGGGGCTGTGGAGGATGAGTGAGGCGGGAGGTGCTGAGGGCAGGGGCTGCTGGAGGGTGAGGGGCTGGAGGAGCATGGGGCTAGCGGAGGGCAGGAGGCTGCTGAGGGCAGGGGCTGTGGAGGTGAGGCTCAGAGGAGGGCTGGGGCAGGAGGTGCTGATGGCAGGAGGTAGCTGAGGGCAGGAGGTGCTGAGGGCAGGGCTGAGGCAGGGCTGCGGAGGCGAGGCTGAGGGCAGGGTCTGAGGCAGGAGGTGCTAGGCAGGAGGTGCGAGGGGCTGGGTGCTGAGGGCAGGGATGCTGAGGGCAGGAGGTGCTGAGGGCAGAGGGCTGAGGGGCTGTGGAGGATGAGCTGAGGCGGGAGGTGCGAGGGCAGGGGCTGCGGAGGATGAGGGGCTGAGGGCAGGATGCTGAGGGCAGGAGGTGCTGAGGGCAGGAGGTGCTGAGGGCAGGGGATGCTGAGGGCAGGAGGTGCTGAGGGCAGGAGGTGCTGAGGGCAGGGGATGCTGAGAGCAGGGGCTGTGGAGGATGAGCTGAGGGCAGGAGGTGCTGAGGGCAGGGGCTGTGGAGGATGAGGAGCAGAGGGCAGGGGCTGCTGAGGGCAGGGGCTGTGGAGGATGAGGAGCCTCACAAACCTGAGGGTGAAGGGCTGAGGGCAGGGGCTGCTGAGGGCAGGGGCTGTGGAGGATGAGGAGCTGAGGGCCAGGACCTGAGGGCGAGGTGCTGAGGGTGAGGGGCTGTTGAGGGCAAGGAGCTGAGGGCAGGGGCTGCTGAGGTTTAGGGGCTGTGGAAGGTGAGGTAGCAGAGGGCAGGGGCTGCTGAGGGTGAGGGGCTGTGGAGAATGAGGTAGCGGAGGGCAGGGGCTGCTGAGGGTGAGGGCACCGGCCTCGGGCACTGCGAGGACACCCGACCCAGGCACTGAGGGGACTCCTGACCCAGGCACTGAGGGGACACCCGGCACGAGCACTGAGGGGACACCCGACCCGGGCACTGCAGAACCGCCCACCCTCACCCTCAAGCAGCGCCGAGCGACTTTCCTCAGCCTCCTCCCGCCTCGTCCCTCAGGCTCGGCCGGGCGGCTTTTCCCGCCCCGTCCCTCAGGCTCGGATTTTCCCGCCTCGCCCCTCAGGCTCGGCCGGGCGGCTTTTCCCGCCCCGTCCCTCAGGCTCGGATTTTCCCGCCTCGTCCCTCAGGCTCGGCCGGGCGGCTTTTCCCGCCTCGTCCCTCAGGCTCGGCCGGGCGGCTTTTCCCGCCCCGTCCCTCAGCCTCCTCCCGCCCCGTCCCTCAGGCTCGGCCGGGCGGCTTTTCCCGCCCCGTCCCTCAGGCTCGGCCGGGCGGCTTTTCCCGCCTCGTCCCTCACGGGGGCTCCGGGAGGGGCCGTGCGCAAACCCCGTGAGGGGGGTGGGGGGGCGAGGGTCGCCCTCGCTCCCGCCCGTGAGGGAATCGTGGAATATCCTGAGGGAAGGGAACCGCGGGGATCATCCCAATCCAACTCCTGCCCCTGCACAGACACCCCAAGAATCCCCTCCCGTCACTCGGGGCGTTGTCCAAACGCCCCTGGAGCTCTGGCAGCCTTGGGGCCGTGCCCACTGCGCTGGGGAGGCTGTTCAGTGCCCGACCATCCTCTAGGGGAAGAACCTTTTCCTGATATCCCCCTAAAACCCTGAGAGAGCTCCAGCTGCTCCCTGGGGTCCTCTCACTGCCCTCATGAGGAAGCTCTCAGTTGGTTCCACAGGTCCTGGGGCAGCAGCGACCCCCCCGGATCCGTAAAATAACCAAAGGCAAAGGATGAAAAAGGCTCGAGTCACTTTTGGGGCAGCAGCTCATTGCTAATTGTGGACACACAGCATCTGATCTTTGCTTGACGCATCAGAGGAAAGCTGGGACAAGGTTTTTTGTCCTTTGTAAGGATCAGGTTGCCCAGAGAAGCCGTGCCTGCCCCTGGATCCCTGGAGGTGTCCAAGGCCAGCTCGGAGCAATCCGGGATAGTGGAAGGAGTCCCTGCCCGTGGCATGCTGGTGGGACTGGGTGAGTTTTAAGGTCCCTTCCAACTTAAACCTGGTTTATAGAATCCTGAGGGACTCACAAGGATCATGGAGTGGAACCCCTGGCCCTGCACAGACACCCCAACAATCCCCCCGTGTCCCTCAGGGCGTTGTCCAAACCCTCCTGGAGCTCTGGCACCCTGGGGCCGTGCCCACTGCCCTGGGGAGCCTGTTCAGTGCCCAACCACCCTCTGGGGGAAGAACCTTTCCCTGAGATCAACCCTGACCCTCCTCACAGCTCCCAAACCCCCCAAACCGCAGCTCCAGCTGCTCCCTCGGGTCCTGCCCCTGCTCACACAGAGGAGCTGCAGCCCCTCGAGGTCTCCCCTCAGTCCCCTCCAGGATGAACAATCCAAGCACCCTCAGCAGCTCCTCATGTGGCCCCTCCAGACCTGGATCTTGTCCCACTTTCAGCTGGGAACGAGTTAATTCCTGCCCAGAGGCTGTTCCAGTGCTTTGTGTTTTGGATTTGGGATGAGAAGGGGGTGGATAACACAGGGATGGTTTGGGTTTTTGCTGAGTCGTGTTTATCCCAAGTCAAGGACTTTTTCTTATATTTTTTTTGTCTCCTGCTCTGCCAGAACTGGGAGGGAGGAGAGCCAGGAAGGTGACCCGAGCTATCCAAAGGGATATTCCACCACCATTGCCAGTCCATAAACTGGAGGGAGTTACCTGGGAAGGAGGAGTCTGACATCAGTCAGCGGGTGGTGAGCAATTGCATCGAGCATCAATTAGTTTCTTTCCCCTTTTATTATCATTATTATTATTTACCATTATTGCCGTATTTTACTCTGTAAATCAACTCCCAATATTCATTTAAAACAATCACAGAGTCATAGGGTGGTTTGGGCTGGGAGGGGACCTTGAAGACCATCGTGTTCAAACCCCACGAGCCTCCTAAAAGCAGTTTCTTCTCCTTGAACGTGGCCTGGCCAAGATAAATCCCCTTATCAGGCCCAAAGTCTGCCTTTTCAAGGCTCAGACATCCCCTTGCACACTGATCTGGGTGAAAACAGCCCTGCCTGTGACAGATGAAAATAATCCCCAATAATCCTGAATTGCTGGGATAAATAAAACCCTCTAATCCTCACAGAGCCCAGCCCTCAATATATAACTTTTTGACCCATTTACACATTTTTAGCAAATGAAGAAATGAGTGTTCACTGGTTCTTCATCACATCATTCCTTTAATTAGTTAGTATTCCACCTCCTATTGGCCATTAATTGATGATAACTGGTTTTGTCTAATAATTAGTTCATATCTTTAATCTTCTTGGCATCTTTTCCTCCCAGACAGGACACGTTGAGTCCTCGTTGTCCTCCTCCTTCATCTGCTGATTTCTGCCCAGAGTCCTTCCCAAACCTTGGGTTTCCAGATGTCCAGGTTCAACACTCACCTTCCTCTCTCTCACCTTCGTTTCTCTGAGCAGACCAAGGTTGATTTTTATCAAAACTCCCTTTTTTTGGTGCTTTTCCCAAGCTCGCGACAACTTCGTGCTAAAAATCAGTGAGTAATTAAAATAACTAATCAAGGGGTTAATTAAAGCTGTTCAAGATCCAAACAGTGATGTCATTCCCAACAAAGTTAAAGAGGGGACACCGGGCACCTCCACCCCAAATTTCCGAGGGGGCAAAAAGGAAGGTGAGAATTCAGGCTCTGCTTTGGGAAAAGGGATGTGGGAATAAAAGAGAGGGAGCTGGGAAGAGGTGATGGTTGAGGAAACATTCCAACCCCTTTGCTGCCAGCAAAAATTGGATTTTGTTACCAATTTAAGGCAATAATTATGACTCGAGAGAGGCATGGAGTATTTATTATTATTATTTATTTATTGTTGGTTATTTATTATTATTTATTTCAGAGTTGGCTTTCGTGGAGTTCCACAAACCAAGCACCCCAAGCAATAAAACATCTTCTATTTATACATTTTAGCCAGCACAGGAATTAGTGTTCCCTGGCTTTGTGGTTCCATGATTCCCTGATTCTGTGATTGCATGATTGTGTGATTCCATGATTTTATGATTCTGTGATTCCGTGATTCCATGATGTAAAGATTTTGTGATTCTATAATTCCATGCCCCAGTGATTCCATGATCCTGTGATTCCATGATTTTATGATTCTGTGATTCCGTGATTCCATGATGTAAAGATTTTGTGATTCTATAATTCCATGACCCAGTGATTCCATGATCCTGTGATTCCATGATTTTATGGTTCTGTGGTTCCATGATTCCATTCCACAGTGATTCCATGACCCTGTGATTCCATGATTCTGTGTTTCCATGACCCTGTGATTCCATGATTCTGTGATTCCATGACCCTGTGATTCCATGACTCTGTGATTCCATGATTCTATGTTCCATGATTCCATGATTGTGTGATTCCATGATTCCATGGTTCTGTGATTCCATCATTCTATGATTCCATGACTCTGTGATTCCACGATTCCAAGATTCTGCGGTTCCACGATCCTGGGACTCCATGATTCCCTGATTCTGCGATTCTATGACTCCGTTATTCCCTGATTCCATGATTCCATGGTTCTGTGACTCTGCTATGCCACGATGCTGTGATTCCATGATCCTATGATCCCATGGCTCTGTGACTCCATGATTCTGTGATTCCATGATTTGGTGAGTCTATGATTCTGGAATTCCATGATTCCATGATTTTATGATTCTGTGACTGCACAATTCCATGGTCCTATGGTTCCATGACTGTGAATCCATGATCCCAGGATTCTATGGTTCCATGATTCTGGGATTCCATGATTCAATGGTTCAATGATTCAATGAGCCTATGATTCCATGATTCTGTTATGCCATGATTCTGGGATTCCATGATTCAATGGCTCAATGATTCAATGATCCTATGATTCCATGATTCTGGGATTCTGTTATGCCATGATTCTGGCATTCCATGATTCAATGATCCTACAATCATTCCACAATTCTGTGATTCAATGATTTTATGATCCCATGACTCTGTAATTCCATGATTTTATGATCCCATAATTCCATGATCTTATGATTCCCCGATTCCACAACCCTACCACTCCCTGATCCTGATTTTACAATTCCATTATACCATTACCCTGTGACCCCATAATTCCATGACGCCCCCCCCTCCGATTCCACGATCCCATTATTCTATAACTCCGCCACATCCCCCGACCCCCCTATCCTACAATTCCACGATCCCCCCATTCCCATTCCCATCCATTCCCATTCCCGTTCCCGTTCCCTCCCGGTCTCCATGGCAACCCCCGGAAGTTCCCGCCGGTTTCCATGGCAGCGGCCGGAAGTGCCCGCGCGGGGCCGGAAGCGGCGGGGCGGGGCGGGCAGTGCCGTGAGGGCGCCATGTCGGCCATGTCTGCGGGCGGCGGAGCGCAGCGGGACGCGGGGGCCGCGGGCGGGTGAGGGCGGCCGCCTCCTCCCCTCCTCCTCCTCGCCCTCATCGCCCTCCTCACCCTCCTCTCCTCTTTCTGCAGGCGCCGCAGCAAGTGGGACCAGCCTGGCCCGGCGCCCACCTTCCTGCTGCCCGGCACGGCGCCGCTGCCCGGCCGGCCCTTCCCCGCCGGGGGCGGCGATGGCGGCAGCGCCGCCTCCACCGCGGCCGGGGCCGAGGGCTCCGCGGCGCCCTCGGGAGCGCTGGATGCGGCCGCGGCCGTGGCGGCCAAGATCAACGCCATGCTGATGGCCAAGGGGAAGCTGAAGCCGGCGCCCAGCACGGCCGACAAGGTGGGTGGGAGAGGGGGGAGGTCGCGGGTGGGCTCCGGAGGCCGTGGAGTTGGGGGCGATAGAATCGCTCAGGAAACATACTTTTAATGTATTTTTTTTTTTTCTTCAGCCTTGTAAGGCTTTACGAAGCCACCTCGGGGAGCGGGCTGGGGGGGAGGTTTAAAAGTTTTTCCACGGGGTCACGGAATGTTCTGGGCTGGAAGGGACGCCACGAGGATCAGCCAGCCCAGCTCCTTCAGAGTGGTTTTCCTGAAGGGTTTTCCAGCTAGCAGAGCTCATGGAAAAGATGATGATTTGGCTTGGAAAAGGCCTTAAAGCTCATCCAGTTCCTTGGGCAGGGACAATTTCCGCTAGCCCAGGTTGCTCCAAACCGGCCTTGGGCAATTCCAGGGATCCGGGGGCAGCCACAGCTTCTCTGGGAATTCCGTCCCGGCCGCTCCCCCCCCTCACAGGGAGGAATTCCTTCCCAATATATGGCTTTATTATTTAATACAGTAAAAAATATGTATATTTAAACATGCTTACGTTTTTATTGCTGTTGGTAGGGAATGCTCAGCGGGGGCATTTCCCAGAGTAATTAAACTCTGGTGACGCTTCAGGTTGGGAGGAGGTGGAAATCAAGGAGCTCCAGGTTAAGGAAAGGACTTTATTTTTTTTTAATAAAAACGTGGAAGGAGTGGAGCAGTTTAATATCTGTACATTTTAATGCCTGTACCATTTAATGTCTGTGCAATGCACTGCAGTCCCTGCACTGCTGCCCTGTGGCTCTTTTTTAAGTGCTGTGTCTTCCTGTGATATTTGATGAGTGGTTGGGTGTTTCTGGAAGGTTCTCCTTTTTTAATTAGAGCCTTGGTTGATGTTTATAACCCCCCAAAATCCACTCCAGAGCCTTTAGAAGGCTGTACTCGCTCCACACATTGAAATAAAAAGCTCCCAGATCTTCGTGGTGACTCCCAACTCCTCCTAAATCTGTGGCTCTTGTGGCTTTTTTATTTCTCGGAGTGTCGACACTGATGCAAAATACTCCGTTTTTAAAAGGGGAGTTCAAATCCTGAGCAGAAATTCGAAGTTCTCTCTATGTTTGAAGGCAGCTGAGATAAGGAAGGGATAGAAACATGAACTTCACGTTCCTTTAGTCTTAGATTTCTGCCCCTTCAGGAGGGAGGTGCTCGAGCAGCTTCACAGCTCTGGCTCTGCCTCTGTTTCTGCCCCCCAGAGCAGAAACATTAACGATGAGGTTAAAATGTGGCAGAGATGAAAGGCTTTTGTTTGGGCTCAGGGCTGTGAGGGGGCAGACTGAGCAGCTCCAGGGTTCTTTCTGTTAATATTTGTGACGATTTGGGGTTCAACAACTGGAAAGGGTGAGCGAGGAGAACCTTCACCCCCCACCAGAGCTGGTTTGTTCCTGGCTTTCCAACCACTGGGAATGTTCTCTGTTGAAGCTGCAGGCTCTGGGGAAAGGTCCAGCCGCCAGCAAAAGCAAAGATGACCTCGTGGTGGCGGAGGTGGAGATCAACGACGTGCCCCTCACCTGCAGGAACCTGCTGACCAGGGGGCAGACCCAGGACGAGGTAGGAGCTGAACTCTCCTGACACTTTGACGTTTGGAAACCCGTGGAATGAACTCAGAGGCTGAGCTCTGACTGGTGGGCTGGAAGGAACCCGCAGCAAGTTGCTGTTTTGTGGTTTCCTCGGTGTTTTGGCGAGTGCCTCGTTAATGGTTGGTAAATGGGTTTCCCTCTGTTGCAGATCAGCCGCCTGAGTGGAGCTGCCGTGTCCACCCGGGGGAGGTTCATGACTGCAGAGGAGAAAGCGAAAGTGGGACCTGGGTTTGTAGCTCTTTGGATTTTTTGGGGGGTTCTGTTTTTTTTCCCCTCCTCGGGAGGGGGATTGCTGAGGTGCCTGTTTGGTTTGTTCTCCGTGAGCAGTTTTGCTCATGTCTGGCCACGATTCATAATCTGCCACAATTCATAATCTGCCACAATTCATAATCTGCCACAATTCATAATCTGCCACAATTCATAATTTGTAAATTTTTAATATGTTGTCATAATTCATAATTTGCCATTATTCATATTTTGCCACCATTCATAATCTGCCTTTTTTATGTAATTTGCCACAATTCATAATTTGTCATTATTCATAATTTCCCACTGTTAATAATTTGCCATCATTCATATTTTGGTATAATTAATAAATTGCCGTAATTAATTATTTGCCACAATTCATAATCTACCACTTTTCATAATTTGTCACAATTCATAATTTACCACCTTTCATAATTTACCATTTTTTCATAATTTACCATAATTCATAATTTCCCATCATTCATATTTTGCCATCATTCATTTTTTGCTGCAATTACTGTTCCCCATAATTCATAATTTGCCATTCATAATTTGCCATTATTCATAATTTCCCATTATTCATAATTTCCCATTATTCATAATTTGCCACAATTAATATTTTGCCATGATTCCTAATTTGCCAGTTTGATGGTCCTGACCACACCACTTCTTCCCTACCTGCCTAAGAATTGATTGAAATCCTGACTGTGCACAAACAAATTAAAGTTTCCAGTGGTGTAACTCTAATAAAACATCACATAAATATATTTTTTTTGCTGTTTGATGCTCCAGGAAGTTGAATTCCCTTATTTGAGGAGATCTCTGTGACTGCCTGTCTGTAAAGTAAATTAAATGGAGTCCATTGCTGGGTGGGTTTCATGGAATTTTTGCCCTTCCCTCCCCAGGGACCGTCCCTTGTATCTTCACGTGCAGGGTCAGACGCGGGAGCTGGTGGACAGTAAGTACAAAACAATCTGCTTTTTCCCCCATTTTAGTGGTGCTAAAGGGGCTGCCTGAGTGGCCTTGTCTGATTTGCACTGTAAATACCTCGGTTTTGGTAACAGACCCCATCCACACACTGAAATTCCTGAGGTCCCACCATTTCCTGAGGAAACTCTGGAGAGTCAGGAAGCTTTGGGGAGACCACAGGGAGGGTGGGGGGAGTGGCTGGGTGGGTTTTCTAGGCAGGTGGTCTCGTGGATAACACACCCAGATCCCACTGGAATAGGACAGAGGGACAAGAGGGGACCATACAGGGTCACCAGGCAGGATCATCCCCCTGGCACGTGGGATGTGTGGAATATCTCTGGAATATCTCCAGGGAGGGACAATCCCCACCCTGCCCAGGCAGCCTGTTCAGGGCTGGGTCACTGCCCAGGGCAGAAGTTCTTCCTCGAGTCCAGGTGCAACTTCTGGGCCTCAGTTTTGTGTCCTGTTTTTGCTTCCCAGCCTGGGGTTGCTCCTCCCCAACTGCAGGACCTAAACATTGGTGTTTGTCCTAAAACATCAGTGCAGGCCTTGCCAGGGTGGGAGCGGACAGGGAGCCCTGATGTTTCATGGAATCAATCCTGAGCTGGAAGGGCCTCACAAGGATCATGGAGTGGAACCCCTGGCCCTGCACAGACACCCCAAGAATCCCCCCCTGTCCCTCAGGGCGTTGTCCAAACCCTCCTGGAGCTCTGGCAGCCCTGGGGCCGTGCCCACTGCCCTGGGGAGCCTGTTCAGTGCCAACCACCCTCTGGGGGCAGAACCTTTCCAAATATCCAGCTGAAATGCCCTTTCCAGAGCTCCAGCTGTGCCTTGGAGCCATCCTCAGTGATCCTCCCACCCCAGGGTACCATTCTGGGGCAGATGAACCCCTCGTGTCACAGAGCAGGCACACCCAGCTGTGCCACACTTTGGTTGGGCTGGAAAGCGGGAATTCATCTGGTTTTGTGTCCCTCAGGAGCACTTTGGTTGGGCTGGAAAGCGGGAATTCATCTGGTTTTGTGTCCATCAGGAGCACTTTGGGCTGGAAAGCGGGAATTCATCTGGTTTTGTGTCCCTCAGGAGCACTTTGGGCTGGAAAGCGGGAGTTCATCTGGTTTTGTGTCCATCAGGAGCACTTTGGTTGGGCTGGAAAGCGGGAATTCATCTGGTTTTGTGTCCATCAGGAGCACTTTGGGCTGGAAAGTGGGAATTCATCTGGTTTTGTGTCCATCAGGAGCACTTTGGTTGGGCTGAAAAGCGGGAATTCATCTGGTTTTGTGTCCATCAGGAGCACTTTGGTTGGGCTGGAAGCGGAATTCATCTGGTTTTGTGTCCATCAGGAGCACTTTGGGCTGGAAAGCGGAATTCATCTGGTTTTGTGTCCATCAGGAGCACGTTGGTTGGGCTGGAAAGCGGGAGTTCATCTGGTTTTGTGTCCATCAGGAGCACTTTGGTTGGGCTGGAAAGCGGGAATTCATCTGGTTTTGTGTCCATCAGGAGCACTTTGGTTGGGCTGGAAAGTGGGAATTCGTCTGGTTTTGTGTCCATCAGGAGCACTTTGTTTGGGCTGGAAAGCGGGAATTCATCTGGTTTTGTGTCCATCAGGAGCACTTTGGGCTGGAAAGCGGGAATTCATCTGGTTTTGTGTCCATCAGGAGCACTTTGGTTGGGCTGGAAAGCGGGAATTCATCTGGTTTTGTGTCCCTCAGGAGCACTTTGTTTGGGCTGGAAAGCGGGAATTCATCTGGTTTTGTGTCCATCAGGAGCACTTTGGTTGGGCTGGAAAGCGGGAATTCATCTGGTTTTGTGTTGATCAGGAGCACTTTGGGCTGGAAAGCGGGAATTCATCTGGTTTTGTGTCCATCAGGAGCACTTTGGTTGGGCTGGAAAGCGGGAATTCATCTGGTTTTGTGTTGATCAGGAGCACTTTGGTTGGGCTGGAAAGCAGGAATTCATCTGGTTTTGTGTCCATCAGGAGCTGTGAACAGAATTAAGGAGATCATCACCAACGGGGTGGTGAAGGCGGCCACGGGCTCCAGCCCCACCTTCAACGGGGCCACGGTCACCGTGTATCACCAGCCAGCCCCCATCGCCCAGATGAGCCCGGCTGTCGGCCAGAAACCCCCTTTCCAGTCAGGGGTGAGTGCTCAGGGGTTGGGATTCACGGAATGGCACCCGTGACGAGGTTCAGCTGTTCCAGAATACTCCAAAGTGTTTGTGAAAAATAAACCCAGACAAACAGAAAACCCCACAAAATCCGCGGCTCAAACTGCATCATCATCATAATAACAATAATAATAATAATTAAAACTAAAGTAATAAATACAAAGTAAAAATAAAGTTTAAAAACAAAAATAGAAAGAAATAACAATTAAAAAATAAAAATTCAAAATAAAAAAAGAGAATGGAAAAATAAAAATTAAAAGGATGTTATAAAATATGAAAATTAAATTAATAGACATTGAAATAAAATAAAAATTAAAAGAAAATATAAAAATTAAAATAAATAAAAATTCAATTTAAAAATAATAAAAATTAAAGGAAAATATAAAAATTTAAAATAAATCAAAATTCAATTTAAAAATACTAAAAATTAAAAGAAAATATAAAAATTTAAAAGAACTAAAAATTCAATTTAAAAATAATAAAAAAGGAAAATATAAAAATTTAAAATAAATGAAAATTCAATTTAAAAATAAAAAATAAAGGAAAATATAAAAATTTAAAATAAATCAAAATTCAATTTAAAAATAATAAAAATTAAAGGAAAATAGGAAAATTTAAAATAAATCAAAATTCAATTTAAAAATAATAAAAATTAAAAGAAAATATAAAAATTTAAAAGAACTAAAAATTCAATTTAAAAATACTAAAAATTAAAAGAAAAATTAAAAGAAAATAAAAATTAAAATATAAAAATTTAAAATAAATCAAAATTCAATTTAAAAATACTAAAAATTAAAAGATAAATTACAAGAAAATAAAAATTAAAATATAAAAAATTAAAATAAATCAAAATTAAACTTAAAAATAAAATTACAAGAAAATAAAAATTAAAATATAAAAAATTAAAATAAATCAAAATTAAACTTAAAAATAAAATTAAAAGAAAATAAAAATTAAAATATAAAAAATTAAAATAAATCAAAATTAAACTTAAAAATAATAAAAATGAAAAGAAAATAAAAATTAAAAGAAAACTATAAAAATTAGAAATAAAAATGTAAAATAAATAAAAATTAAACTTAAAAATAATAAAATTTAAAAGAAAATATAAAAATTAGACATAAACATTTAAGAGAAATAAAAATTTAAAAGTAATAAAATTTAAAAGAAAATATAAAGATTAGACATAAAAATCCAAAATAAATAAAAATTAAATTAAAAAAATAAAATAGGAAATATAAAAATTTGACATAAAAATTCTAAATAAATAAATAAAAATTAAAAATAACACGTAAAAGAATAAAACAGAAAATAAAAATCAACACCCCTCTTGTGTGTTGTTAAAAACTGGAGGACTGAAGAGGCTGAGTCTGGAGAGTGAGGCTCAGGTGACCGTGACCTCCTGACATCAAAGGGATGGAGAGAGCAGTCCCGCTTCCAGCAGAGCCCGGGGCTCACTGTGCCATCTCACACTGACCGCTCCTGTCGTCACACCGAGGATTCTGCCCCCGTTTCCCAACTGTGAGTGAAATAACCGGCTGTCCCCGCTCGTTTACAGATGCATTACGTGCAGGACAAGCTGTTTGTGGGGCTGGAACACGCCGTGCCCACCTTCAACGTGAAGGAGAAGGTGGAGGGGCCGGGCTGCTCCTACCTGCAGCACATCCAGGTGGAGACGGGCGCCAAGGTCTTCCTGCGAGGGAAGGGCTCGGGCTGCATCGAGCCAGCCTCGGGCAGAGAGGCCTTTGAGCCCATGTACATCTACATCAGGTATGGGGGGAGGTTAAAAACACGCCAATTCCCACTTCCCAGGCAGGGATCACGGAATCCCAGGATCAGCCGGGTTGGGAAGGACCTCTGAGATCAGCCAGCCCAGTCCTCGCTCCAACCCCGCCGTGGTTCCCAGCCCGTGGCACCGGTGCCACATCCAGACTGTCCTTAAAATCCTCAGGGAATGGAGGGTGGTGACTCCAAACCCCTTCCCTGAGCAGCCCATTCCAATGTCTGATCACTCTGGAAAGAATTCCTTCCCGATATCCAACCCAAACCTCCCCTGGCACAGCTGGAGACCCTCTTGTCCTGCTGCTGGTTCCTGGGAGCAGAGCTCAACCCACCCCCAGCTCCCCCCTCCTGTCAGGGGGTTGTGGAGAGTCCCCTGAACCTCCTCCTGTCCAGGCTGAGCCCCCCCAGGTCCCTCAGCCTCTCCCCACGGGAATTGTGCTCCAGACCCTTCCCCAGCCTCGCTGCTCCTCTCTGCACCTGCTCCAGCCCCTCCGTGTCCTTCCTGAGCTGAGGGGAGCTGGACACCAATCCCATCCCAATTCCCAGCTCCCTTCCTGCCTGGCTGCTCTCCAGCCACTCTGTCCCCAGCCTGGAGCTGCCGGGGGTTGTTGTGGCCAAAGGGCAGGACCCGGCACTTGGCCTGGTTGAACCTCATCCCCTTGGATCCTTTCCATCTCTCCAGCCTGTCCAGGTCCCTCTGCACAGCCCTCCTGCCTCCCAGATCAACACACCCCCAGCCCGGTGTCATCTGCACGTTTGCTGATGATGCACTCGATCCCCTCATCTAAATCATCAGTAAAGATGTCAAACTGGGCCCAGCGCTGATCCCTGGGGGGTCTGTAAAGTGGCAAAGAATCAACCCTACGGTGACAAGAGTGGAATCAGGGAATCCCAGAGTGGTTTGGGTTGGAAGGGACCTTAAACCCATCCAGTTCCACCCCCTGCCCTGAGCAGGGACACCTTCCACTAGCCCAAGTTTTCTTCTTAAAACCTTGATTCTTAGACCAGAGTTTCTTCTTAAGGGGCTCAGTCTGACAGGAGGTTGCTGGTGAAAGAGGGAGCTCCCAAACCTGTCAGAGTTGTGCTGATGAGGTGGTTTGTTTTTCTTTTTCTGTCTGTCCTTTCAGCCACCCAAAGCCAGAAGGTTTGGCAGCTGCTAAAAAGCTGTGTGAGAACCTCTTGCAAACAGTGAGTAGCTCTTACAAGTATGAGGTTTCAGAGCCTGTTGTAGCTTTGGGGTAAAACTGACGATGCTTTAATGCTCTTTTTAATGTCTGTGTGTCTGACTTGCTGATGGGTTTTCCCTTCCAAGTGCTGCTGGAAGGGATCTTAATTCTTGTAGAGACAACAAACATTTCTCAGGATGGAGCTGTAGTAGTGGAATTTTAGGGGGGGTGGGGGGAAAAAAGCTTCCCATGTTATCCAGAGCTGCACTGTCTGCTTCAGGAAACAGGGAGTGATTGGTGTAGCCAAAAATAAAACCCTAGAAAATCTCTCCCAAAACGAGTTTCTCTCTTAAGCTTTTCTCATCTGAATGCAAATGGAGCAAAGCCCTGTGGGAGCCTTTCTGTTAATATTGATAATTGAGTGTAGGCTGCAAAGTTTCCCTTGAAAGAAATACATGGAAGCTTTTTAGGTTCTCTGAGTATCTTGTCTCTGTTGTAGCAGTTAATTTGCCATTCTCTTTTTTTCACTTCCCTTAATCTGTGAAAGGTTATCCCGTATTTTACACAAATCTACCCCAGAGGGGTCATGATGTGCATGGTGTGTTCTGTAATCAGCAGAACATCCTCACAGGGTTGTGGGGGCTGCACAAAGGGCTGATTTGGGAAGTAGATGTTTGTTGTGTCATCCCTGGAAATCCTTCCTAGGTCCACGCCGAGTACTCCCGATTTGTGAACCAGATAACCACTGCAGTCCCCCTGGCAGGTAAATACCAGCCCCAATTCACCTCTCAGAGCCCTTCTTTGATATTCTCTGCTCAACTGGCCTCTGATTTAATCGTGACCCTCTTTTTATCCCCCCAGGCTTCACCCAACCCGCCACCATCAACAGCGTCCCCTCCCAGCCGTCCTACTACCCCTCCAACGGGTACCAGTCAGGGTACCCCGTGGTGGCCCCTCCTCAGCAGCCCGTCCAGCCGCCCTACGGGGTGCCAGGCATCGTCCCCCCCGCCGTGCCCCTGGCGCCGGGCGTGCTGCCAGCCCTGCCCACGGCCGTGCCGCCCGTGCCCACGCAGTACCCCATCCCTCAGGTGCAGCCCCCAGCCAGCACCGGCCAGGTAACGCCCCCGGGGGGGTCCCCTCAGCTCTGCCCCGCTGGGAGGGACGGGGGACACGTGCAGAGCTCTTCTCTGGGGACTCTCATGTCTGTTACTGCTTTGCTGGTGCTTCCTTCTAAGCACACTGCGGGTTTTTATGTGCCCTGTAAACATCAGGGGAGTGGTGGCTCCTTTTTGGGGGGTGGGTGGATTGTTTTTGACAGGTGTCGTCCCAGGCTGTGATGCCCCTGGTTAATTCTGGCTGATTTCAGGCAAGGGAAGTGGTTTCTGATCCTGGCTTTGCTTTTAGTAGAGGTGTCTCCAAAGCGGTAAAAGGTGCCAGGGTGGAATCAGAGAATCCCAGAGTGGTTTGGGTGGGAAGGGACCTTAAAGTTCATCCAGTGTTAGGGACAAGGGTTTGGGTTACAGGTTAGGATGAGTCTGGGTTTACAGATAATGATGGGTTACAGCTTAGGATGAGTTGAGTTACAGCTTAGGATGAGTCTGGGTGACAGGATGAGTCTTGAGTGACATGTTAGGATGAGTCTGAGTTGCAGATAAGAGTTAGTCTGGGTTACAGATTAGGATGAGTCTGGGTGACAGGTTAGGATGAGTCTGGGTTAAAGGTTAGGTTTAGTCTGGGTGACAGGTTAGGATGAGTCTGGGTGACAGGTTAGGATGAGTCTGGGTGACAGGTTAGGATGAGTCTGGGTGACAGGTTAGGTTTAGTCTGGGTTACAGTTTAGGATGAGTCTGGGTTAAAGGTTAGGTTTAGTCTGGGTGACAGGTTAGGATGAGTCTGGGTTACAGATTAGGATGAGTCTGGGTGACAGGTTAGGTTTAGTCTGGGTTACAGTTTAGGATGAGTCTGGGTTAAAGGTTAGGATTAGTCTGGGTTACAGGTTAGGTTTAGTCTGGGTTACAGTTTAGAATGAGTCTGGGTTAAAGGTTAGGATTAGTCTGGGTTGCAGTTTAGGATGAGTCTGAGTTACAGATGAGGGTTAGTCTGGGTTACATCTTAGGATGAGTCTGAGGTGGGAGCATTCTATGAATGAAATACTTAATTTACCTCCAAGCTGTGAATTTTCTCTTACCTTCTTTTACATTTTTTCCAAAGCCAGACTTAGCTGTGTTCTGCCCCTCTGCATGAAACCACGTGGAACGAGTCGTTAACTTGCACAATCCCAATTTTTCCCTGTGTTTTGTCTCCACCTTGTGCACGCCAGAGTCCGCTGAGTGCTCCTTTCCTTCCTGCTGCCCCAGTAAAAACCAGCCTGCCAACTGGTGCTCAGCCACAAGTGCAAGCCCACCCCCAGGGCCAAAAGAGACGCTTCACCGAGGAGCTGCCCGATGAGAGGGAGTCAGGACTGCTGGGATACCAGGTGGAATAAAATCAGCAATTTTACTGCATCCCCCCCACCAAAACCAGAGCTGGGTTGGAGAGAGGTGGTTCTCAGCTGAGTTCATCTGGCAGGGCTCTTTGGCAGAGGGCAGAGCTGTCCCAAAACAGGGGGGGGAGGGCCACGCTTTTGGTGTCTCCTGAGTGGATTCACTGCTCTTAAACTGGGGCTGAATTCATCCCAGCTGCTTCCCAGTCTTGCCCAAACTCGGAGCAGAGTGTTCAGCTCGGAGGTCACAACAGTGTGGGACTTGTTTAATGTCCAACCAGATTATTTTGGGGGCTTACTGGATGATTTTTTTTTTTTTTTGGGTGGGTGTTTCGAGGAGCGGGAGGGAAACGTGGCAATAACTCCCAGATTTTCCCACTGCCCTTCCTTGCAGGTTGCACTTGAGAGGATTTCAAGAAGCCTAGTTTTAAAGACTCATTTATCTAATTTTTTTTTTTTTTTTTAGCTAGCAAGTTTTAAATAACTTTAAGAAAGCTTAACTTTGAGTTCTTCAGATGTTTTTTTTTACGGGAGGAAAGGGAGTGCCTGCAATCCCTGATGATCCACCCCCTGCCTCAGGCAGAGCCCCTAATAAAAATAAGGAATTTTAGAGATAACAGTGGCCTGTCCAGCTCAGGGTGAGCTGACTGAGGAGGTGACAGATGCTCTTTTACCCCCCTGCCCTGCAGCAAAGCTGCAGCAGGAGCTGAGGTGCCCCCTGCCCTCATCATTTTTTTAGGAGAGAGCATTGTTTGTGTTTTTGGTGCCAGGCTCTGTGTAGCGGTTCCTCCTAGAGCTGTGACAGGTTGGGTGTTTCCTCACAGGTATCGTTGAGGAGCTGGAGCTCGTGGTGTAGAGGTAGATGTGCTAATGCCGTGTGTTTTTCTGCTCATAGCATGGACCCATTCATATGACTAATTTAGGTACAGGCTTCTCCAGTGCGAGCGAAATCGAGGGAGCCGGGCCGAAGGCAGCAAGTTCCTCAGGAAAGGAGAGAGAGAGGGACAGGTGAGCGGGGCAGGGGAGGGGCCCAGCATGCTTTTAATGTGATTTTTTAATGGTTTTAGTGTGATTTTTAAAATATTTTTAATGTGATTTTTATATATTTTTAATGTGATTTTTATATTTTTAATGTGATTTTTATATTTTTAATGTAATTTTTTTATATTTTTAATGTGATTTTTTAAATATTGTGATTTTTAAATATTTTTAATGTGATTTTTTCATATTTTTAATGTGATTTTTTCATATTTTTAATGTGATTTTTTTCATATTTTTAATGTGATTTTTTTCATATTTTTAATGTGATTTTTTAGTCTTTTTAATGTGATTTTTTATATTTTTAATGTGATTTTTTATATTCTTAATGTGATTTTTAAAATAATTGTTGTGATTTTTTCATATTTTTAATGTGAATTTTTAATCTTTTTAATGTGATTTTTTGTATTTTAATGTGATTTTAAGAATACTTTTAATGTGATTTTTTTCATATTTTTAATGTGATTTTAAAAATATTTTTGTGATTTTAAAATATTTTTAATATTTTTAATGTGAATTTTTAATCTTTTTAACGTGATTTTTTAATCTTTTTAATGTGATTTTTTAATATTTTTAATGTGAATTTTAAATATTTTTAATGTGATTTTTTATATTTTAATGTGATTTTAATTATACTTTTAATGTGATTTTTTCATATTTTTAATGTGATTTTTAAAATATTTTTGTGATTTTTAAATATTTTTAATGTGAATTTTTAATCTTTTTAATTTGATTTTTTGTATTTTTAATGTGATTTTTGGTGGGGTTTTTGTGATTTTTTAATATATTTTTAATGGGATTTTTTGTATTTTTAAGAAATTTTTTTTTCTTTTAAGGGGATTTTTTTTGTATTTTTAATGCCATCTTTTGCATATTTTTAATGCATTTTTGGGGTTTTTTTAAATGCGTTTTGTTGTATTTTTAATGTTATTTTTCAGGGTTTTTAAGGTGATTTTTGGTTTTTTTTGTATTTTTGAATGTAATTTTATTGTATATCTTTTAATGTGATTTTATTGCATATCTTTTAATGTGATTTTAATGCATATCTTTAATGTGATTTTATTGCATATCTTTTAATGTGATTTTATTGTATATCTTTAATGTGATTTTATTGCATATCTTTTAATGTGATTTTTTGTGTATCTATTTAAGTGACTTTTCTTATTATCTCAATGCCATTTTTTTGTATTTTTAATGGAATTTTTTGTGTTTTTCAAGGCGATTTTTTGTATTTTTAATGCCATTTTTGCGTATTTTTAATGAAATTTTTTTGCATATTTTTAAAGCGATTTTTCTTATTTCTTTAATGCGATTTTTTTGTATTTTCTTGGGGTTTTAATGACTTTTAATTGGCTTCCACCTCCAGCCCCTTCCTCATCCCTGTGCCAGCCCATCCTGCCCCGTTTGCAGGCGGGAATGTCGGGAGAACACCCCACAGCTCCCGGAGCGGGGCCAGGAGTCTCTGCTGGATGAGTCAGAGCTCGGAGTCCAACTCCCGCTTAGGAATTTGGGTTTTATCCCTTCGACTCTTGTTGTAAAAACAAACCCAGGGAAACTAAAGCTCTGCCTTGCCTCCCACAGGCAGTTGATGCCTCCGCCAGCTTTTCCCGTCCCTGGAATCAAATCGGAGTCTGAGGAGAGAAAAGGTGCGGGGTCTGTACCGGGCAGCCACGGTGAGTGCCAAGAGGGGCAGCCCCACCTTTGGGCTCGGCCCTCCCCACACAGCCTGGCCTGGCTTCGGGCCCTCCCCTCACAGCCCGGCCTGGCTTCGGGCCCTCCCCACACGGCCTTGGGCCCTCCCCACACAGCCTGCCCTGGCTTCAGGCCCTCCCCACACGGCCCAGCCTCGGCTTCAGGCCCTCCCCACACAGCCTCAAGCGCTCCCCTCACAGCCTGGCCTCGGCTTCGGGCCCTCCCCACACAGCCTGGTCTCGGCCTCAGGACTTCCCCACATGGCCTTGACCCTCCCCACACGTCCTCAGGCCCTCCCTACACAGCCTTGACCCTCCCAACACAGCTCGGCCTTGGCCTCGAGCCCTCCCCACACAGCCATGGCTCTCATGACACGGCTCGGCCTCGGCTTTGGGCCCTCCCCACACACCTTGGGCCCTCCCCACACGGGTTAAACCCGTGATTAAATCAGTCACCGTTTATATTTTTTGGCTGTTTTTGCGGCAGGTGACACCACACTGCTCTGAAAGGGCTCTGAGAGGTGATCAGAGCACAGGAGGGGGATGATGAGAGCCCTTCTCACAGGGAGCTGATTTCACCTGGGCTTCCTGGCACTCTTGTTTCGTTGGGAGCGGGCTTTTTGTATTTGCTTTCTTTTTTTTTTTTTTTAAGGTGATTTTCTTGTATTTTTAAAGGTGATTTTTAGTATTTTTAATGCGATTTTTGGGGTATTTTTATGTGATTTTTTGGGTATTTTTTAATGCCGACTTTTTGTATTTTTGTGTGATTTTTGGTGGATTTTTAGTGTGGTTTTTTTTATTTTTTTTTTCTGTGATTTCTTTGTATTTTATTGTGATTTTTTGGTATGTATAAGGTGATTTTTTTATTTTTAATGCTATTTTTTTGGTATTTTTATGTGAATTTTTGTATTCTTTAATGCGACTTTTTGTATTTTTATGTCATTTCTTGTAATTTGTTGTGTGATTTTTTTTGTATTTGATTTTTTTGTATTTTTAATGCAATTTTTAAAATTTTTTTAAGGTGATTTTTTTTTGTATTTTTAAGCGGATTTTTTGTATCCTTTCAATGTGATTTTATTTTTATGTTATTTGTATTTTTATACGATTTTTTTAAGGTGATTTTTTTTGTCTTTTTTTAAGCTGATTTTTTGTCTTGTTTCATGTGATTTTTCTGTATTTTTAAGATGATTTTTTTGCATTTTAAGCTGATTTCTTTGTATTTTTAAAGCTGACTTTTTTTTTTTTAATGTGATTTTCAGTATTTTTATGTGATTTTTTTCTCTTTTTTTAAACGGGATTTTTCAAAGGTGATTTTTTTTAATCTTCAAGCTGACTTTTCTCTTTATTTAATGTGATTTTTAATCTCTTCTTAAATGAAATTTTGTATTTTTAACGCGATTATTTTGAATGCTATTTTTTTATATTTTTTACATTATTTCTTTGCATTTTTTAAGCTGACTTTTTGTCTGTTTTAAACGGGATATTTTTTGCATTTTTACACGATCTGTCGTATTTTCAACGCGACTTTCTGTATTTCAACGCGATTTGTTACATTTTACATGATTTTTTGTCTTTTTTAACCCAATTTTTTATCTCCTTTAAAACCCCACTTTTTCTATTTTTCACTCACCTTTTTTTACTCCTTTCAAATACGATTTTTGTGCATTTTCCCCCAAGTTGTTCACCTTTTTAGGTGCTTTTCAGCCATTTTTCACACTGCTCAGGTGCTTTTGGGTCATCCCCCCGGAGCCGCGGCTTCCTCCGCAGCTCCCCTCAAGCCAAACTCCCTCTTCTCCCAACAAATTACTCTCTTTTGTGGGTGACAGCGCCCTGCCCTGGCCCCCCTTTGCTAACGGTGCCTTTTCTGTGTGTTTCTTTCTCCTTTCTCTCTTCTCTTCCATGGCTCTGACGGATCGCGCGGCCGTCGCTGCTGCCGTTCGCGCGTGGCCTCCCCGCCCCGGATCACCGATGACCTCAAAACGGGTGTCCACAACTAACAAATTGACAATTAACATCTATTTTTTTTTTTTTTTTGAAATTATCATTATTATTATTATTGTTATTAACTCGTTTTCTTGGGGGACGTTTTTATCTCTTCGTTGTTTGTTGTGTGGTTTTGTGTCGTGTTTTTTTTTTTAATTTTATTTTTCCTGACTGTTTGATGATGGGGGTGGGGTGGGTTGGTTTTTTTTGGGTTTTTTTGGGTTTTTTTTCCCCCCCTTTCCTTAGATCATCAAGCAAAGAAGATGAAAACTGGAGAGAAGGGCTTTGGCTTAGTGGCCTACGCTGGAGACTCGTCGGACGAAGAGGAGGAACACGGAGGCCATAAAAACGCAAGTACTTTTTCACAGGGCTGGAGTTTGGGGTACCAATACCCCTCCTCCCAACAGAGAGCCAAGCAACAGATGCCCTTCTGGATGGCTCCCTAAAAGCTGCACAAGAGTTTTGGTGGTTTTTTTCTTCTTTTTTTTTTTTTTTTTGGCATCCATCTGGTTTTTTTTTTTCCCCTCCATCCCCACTTCCCTCTAGCAATAATTGCATGGATATTCCAGAAAGGACTGGGCAAAACAAAACAAACAAACAAAACAAAAAAAAAGACAACCTCGTTTTTACATTTGAAGAAGAAGCCAATTTTCTTCCTCCCCCACCCCACCACTTTGGAAGGGCTCCGTTGTTTTTAAAAATCGTTATTTTTGGCAGCGTTTTTTTGCCAGTTGAGAAGATTTGGAGCAGTGTGCTCCCTTCCCCAAGGGGAGAGGTAAAGAGGATCCAGGGAAGCCTCTTGGTCCAGCGTGTCCCCATTTTTCCAAGATAACTCAAAGGGAAGAGTCGGTGCCACTGACCTCACTCCACACCCAGTGTTGGCATTTTTTGCTGGGTGCTCCTGCTGCCCCACAGCTTCCATGTGGGACTTGTCACCAGAGGGAAGGAAAACGTCCAGGAGCTGTGGAAAAACTCAACGTTTCTGAAAACTCTCCATTTTTACTCCAGGCACCTCCTGTAACTCGGCACTGTTGGTTTGTTTTTTTCCTTGGAAGAGTGGTTTTACTGATTCCCCACAGCTCTCTCATTCTGGGGGGGGAAACGCTCAGGTTTTTGGATGGATGGCTCATCTTGCCCCTGGTGGATTGGCACTGGAGCTCTGGTACTAAATCTCCTCCTGGACCTCACCCTCACCCAGCAGCTGGACAGAATTCCTCCTCCTGAGCTTCATCTCTTCCCTCATCCCCCTCGGTTCCACCCCGAACCAGGAGGTTCCAACGAGGGGTTTCCCGAAAAGGAGGGTGGGGTTGGAGGGGAGGGCAGCACTTGAGTCCAGCAGCTCCTGGGAGCTGGGAATGAGCGGCTGGATGGTGTGTACGGACATGAACTGCACCCGGGGCTTTTCTCAGCAGGGTGGGGGGCACCCAGTGCAGCCCCCACCTCGGGGTGACGCTCCCAGGCACTGCTCCAGGGGTGCTGGGCAGCCTTTGGAACGGGATTTTAAGGATCTGTGGTGTCACCGCTGCACCCCCGGGGTGGGGCTCACCCCCCTCTGCAAACCTGGGCTTTCCTTTTGTGGTGTAAATAATTGAGAACCATACTTTCATTATAAATAAATGTATAAATATTCGGCTTCCTGGGGGAGGGGTGGGGTGTTTGTGTGGTTTGGGTGAGGTTTGGAGCCTGTGGGGCTGAGGGGGGCTCAGGGTGGGACTGGGGGGTCTCTGAAGCCCAGGGGTGACCCCAGGGCTGAGGGGGGAAGCCCCTGGTCAGGGGGACCCCATAACTGGGGGATGGCCCAGGGTGGGGCTGGGGAGGCTTTGAGGGGCTGGAGGGAGCTCTGGGGCTGGGAGGGTCACAGGGCTGGGGGAGAACCCGAGTCTAGGAGGAGGTTTGGGGGTCTGGAGCTGTGGGAGAACCCGAGTCTAGGAGGAGGTTTGGGAGTGTGGGGCTGTGGGAGAACCTGGGTCCAGGAGGAGGTTTGGGGGTCTGGAGCTGTGGGGCTGGGGAGAACTGTCAGGAGGAGGCTTGGGGGTCTGGGCTGGGGAGAACCCGGGTCTAGGAGGAGATTTGGGGGTCTGGAGCTGGGGCTGGGAGAACCTAGGCCAGAGGAGGTGTCTGAGTGTGGGAGAACCCGGGTCTAGGAGGAGATTTGGGGGTCTGGAGCTGCAGGGCTATGGAGAACCCGAGTCTAGGAGGAGGTTCGGGGGTCTGGAGCTGTGGGAGAACCCGGGTCTAGGAGGAGGTTTGGGGGTCTGGGGCTGTGGGGGAACCCGGGTCTAGGAGGAGGTTTGGGGGTCTGGGGCTGTGGGGCTGTGGGAGAATCCAAGTCTAGGAGGAGGTTTGGGGTCTGGAACTGCAGGCGGGGAGAACCCGAGTCTAGGAGGAGGTTTGGGGGTCTGGAGCTGTGGGAGAACCTGGGTCTAGGAGGAGGTTTGGGGGTCTGGAGCTGCAGGGCTGGGTGAGAACCCAAGTCTAGGAGGAGATTTGGGAGTCTGGAGCTGCAGGGTGGGGGGAGAACCTGGGTCTAGGAGGAGGTTTGGGGGTCTGGAGCTGTGGGAGAACCCGGGTCTAGGAGGAGGTTTGGGGGTCTGGAGCTGTGGGGCTGTGGGAGAACCCGGGTCCAGGAGGAGGTTTGGGAGTCTGGGGCTGTGGGAGAACCTGGGTCTAGGAGGAGGTTTGGGGGTCTGGAGCTGCAGGGCCGGGAGGGGGCCTGATCTGGGGAAGGGGATAAGGCTGTGGTAGGGGTGTTAGGGATGTGGGGCAGGGGGTCGCCCCCGGGCTGTGAGGGGAGTTCTGAGGGTTGGGGAGAACCCAGGGGTGGGAGAGGGATCTGGGGTGCCAGAGTGGGGCTGAAAGGGGGGTCTCGGGCTGGAGGGAAGCCACAGGGCTGGGGTGGGGTGGGTAATGGGTCTGGGGCAGCCCCTGGGCTGGGAGGGGGTCCCAGGGTTAGGGGGAACTCAGGGGTGGGGGGAGCCCTGGGGAGCCACCTGAAGCTGGGGAAGCCACAGGGCTGGGGAGAGGAACGTGGGGCTGGGGGAGATGGATGTGGGGCTGGGGGAGATGGATGTGGGGCTGGGGGAGACGGATGTGGGGCTGAGGGGAGAGGACGTGGGGCTGAGGGGAGATGGATGTGGGGCTGAGGGAGATGGATGTGGGGCTGGGGGAGACGGATGTGGGGCTGAGGGAGATGGATGTGGGGCTGGGGGCTGCCTCCTGGGGCTGGAGGGGGGGGCTGGGGCAGCCCCCCATGTCGGTCACGGGGGGGTCCGCGGGAGGGGTCCCGGTTGTGTCCCCGCCGTGTCCCCCCTGGGTTACGGGGGTCCCGGGAGGGGTCCCGGCTGTGTCCCCACCGTGTCACCCCCTCAGTTCGGGGGTCCCGGGGGGGGTCCCGGGCAGGGTGCCGGCTGTGTCCCCCCCTCAGTTCGGGGGTCCCGGGCAGGGTCTCGGCTGTGTCCCCCCCTCAGTTCGGGGGTCCCGGGCAGGGTCTCGGCTGTGTCCCCCCCTCAGTTCGGGGGTCCCGGCTGTGTCCCCGCCGTGTCCCCCCCTCAGTTCGGGGGTCCTGGGCAGGGTCCCAGCTGTGTCCCCCCCTCAGTTACGGGGGTCCCGGGCAGGGTCCCGGTTGTGTCCCCGCCGTGTCCCCTCAGTTCGGGGGTCCCGGGCAGGGTCCCGGCTGTGTCCCCCCCTCAGTTCGGGGGTCCCGGGCATGGTCCCGGCCGTGTCCCCGCCGTGTCCCCTCAGTTCGGGGGTCCCGGGCAGGGTCCCGGCTGTGTCCCCCCCTCAGTTCGGGGGTCCCGGGCAGGGTCTCGGCTGTGTCCCCCCCTCAGTTCGGGGGTCCCGGGCAGGGTCTCGGCTGTGTCCCCCTCAGTCGGGGTCCCGGCTGTGTCCCGCCGTGCCCCTCCAGTTCGGGGTCCCGGGCAGGGTCTCGGCTGTGTCCCCCCCTCAGTTCGGGGGTCCCGGCTGTGTCCCCGCCGTGTCCCCCCTCAGTTCGGGGGTCCCGGGCAGGGTCCGGTTGTGTCCCCCCCTCAGTTGGGGGTCCCGGGCAGGGTCCCGGCTGTGTCCCCGCCGTGTCCCCTCAGAGCCGCCGTCGGGCCCCGCCCGCCGCTCGCCCGGCCCGGGGCGGGTCCGGGAGGAGCCGCCGCCATTTCGGTGCCTCAGCGAGCGGGGCCGGCAAAACCAGGGGGGAAACCGCGAAAAAAAAAAAAAAAAAAAAGGGAAAAACCGGGAAAAAGCGTGGGGGGAAGGAAACCGGGGGAAGGGGAAGAGAGGGGGCGATGGACTCCGGAGCCCGCCCGGGCGGCGGCGGCCCCGGCGCGGGGCAGAACCGCGAGTACAAACTGGTGATGCTCGGGGCGGGCGGCGTCGGCAAGAGCGGTGAGTGCTGAGGGGGGACCGGCCCGGGGGGCTCGGTTTGGGGGGGCTCGGTTTGGGGGCTCAGCCCGGGGGGCTCGGCCCGGGGGTCCCGGCTCGGCAGCGGCCCCTTAACAACCCCCACACCCCCCCCGCCCCGGTCTGGGCGCGGTCCCTGCCGGGCTGTCCCGGTCCCTCACGGGGTGTCCCGGTCCCTCCCGGGCTGTCCCGGTCCCTCACGGGGTGTCCCGGTCCCCCTGGATTGTCCCCATCCCACTGGGCTGTCCCGGCCCTTCCCGGGCTGTCTTGTTTCCCCCCGGGTTGTCCCGGTCCTTCCCGGGCTGTCCCCGTCCTTCCCGGGATGTCCGGGTCCCCCTGGATTGTCCCCCTCTTTCTGGGCCCTCCCGGAATGTCCCGGCCCTTCCCGGTGTATCCCGGTCCCCCTGGATTGTCCCCGTCCCTCTGGGCCCTCCTGGAATGTCCCAGCCCTTCCCGGGATGTCCCGGTCCCCCTGGATTGTCCCCGTCCCCCTGGATTGTCCCCGTCCCTCCCGGGCTGTCCCAGCCCTTCCCGGGATGTCCCGGTCCCCCTGGATTGTCCCCGTCCCCCTGGATTGTCCCCGTCCCTCCCGGGCTGTCCCGGCCCTTCCCGGGATATCCCGGTCCCTCCCGGTGTGTCCCCGTCCCCCTGGATTGTCCCCGTCCCTCCCGGGCTGTCCCGGCCCTTCCCGGGATATCCCGGCCCTTCCCGGTGTGTCCCGGTCCCCCTGGATTGTCCCTGTCCCTCCCGGGCTGTCCCGGCCCTTCCCGGGATATCCCGGCCCTTCCCGGGGTGTCCCGGTCCCCTGGATTGTCCCCGTCCCTCTGGGCTGTCCCGGTTCCCTCCCGGGCTGTGTCAGCCCCTTCCTCCTCCTCCTCCTCCCGCATCCCTGCAGGGCTGTTCACTTGGAGCCCCGGGAATGGGAGGGGAACTGGGATCCAGCGGGATCCTGCCCCGAGATCCCCCCCTGGGATCCTCAGGGATCCATCCCCAGCTGGATCCAGACATGGATCCCGACCCGATCCTGGTGGAGGGGGGAGTGAAAAACACGGGGAATGTGGGGAAAATGGGAAAAAGGGGTCAGGACTCCTTGGGAACACGCTGGGGATCCCTGGGAATGGGGTCAGGGATCCTTGGGATCCCTCTCAGCACAGGGATGTGGAAGGGGTACCTCCAGTCAGGGCCTTGATGCCGTCCTGCTTCTGAGGGGGGAAAACATGGAAAAACGGGAATTTGGGAGAAAGAGGGGGGGTTCCCAGGGCAACATCCTGGAAAAAAAACCGGGAAAAATGAAGGCAAAGGTTGACGATGTCCAGGGTTTTCTCTGCAGCCATGACCATGCAGTTCATCAGCCACCGCTTCCCCGAGGATCACGACCCCACCATCGGTGAGGAAAATCCCTCTTTCCCCCTCTGCTTTTTAATTTGACCCGGAGGGACAGAATATTGACAGAATATTTATGTATTTACAGCCACCATATTTATATATCTATAGGCAGAATATATATATTTATAGACAGAATGTTTATGCATTTATAGACTGAATAATTATCTATTTATAGACAGAATATCTAAACATTTATAGGTAGAATATGTACTTATACCCAGAATATCTGTATATTTATAGGCAGAATAGTTACATATTTATAGACAGATTAAATAAATACTTATATATTTATAGCCAGAATATCTGTTTATAGGCAGAGTATTTTTATATTTATAGACAGAATATCTATTTATAGGCACAGTATTTGTACATTTATAAACAGAGTATGTATTTATAGGCAGAATATTTGTGTATTTCTAGGCAGAATATTTATACATTTCTAGGCAGAATATTTATATGTCTCTGGACAGAATATTTATATATTTATAGGTAGACTACCTATACATTTATAGGTAAAATATCTAAATACTTATAGATAGAATATCTATATAGTTACAGCCAGACTATTTATCTCTTTATAGGCAGAATATTTATATATTTCTAGGCAGAACACTTATATATTTATAGACAGATTACTAATACATAGACAGAATATATAAATACATTTTATATAAGTGTTTATATATTTATAGCCAGAATGTCTGTATACTTATAGCCAGAATATTTATATATTTATAGCCAGAATATTCATATATTTATAGGTAGAATATTTACATATTTACTGACAGAATGTATATTTATAGGCAGAATAGGTATTTATAGGCAGAATATATCTATTTATAGGCAGAATATTTATATATTTATAGCCAGAATATATATTTATAGGCAAGATATTTATATATTTATGGGCAGAATATTTATATATTTACAGCTAGAATATTTATATATTTATAGGTAAAATGTGTATATATTTATAGGCAGAAATATATATTTATGGGCTGAATATTTATATATTTATGGCCAGAATATTTATATATTTATGTGCAGAATATTTATATATTTATAGGCAAAATGTCTATATATTTATAGGTAAAATATGTATTTATGGGCTGAATATTTATATATTTATAGCCAGAATATTTATATATTTATGGGCAGAATATTAATATATTTATAGGCAAAATGTCTATAAATGTATAGGTAAAATATGTATTTATGGGCTGAATATTTATATATTTATAGCCAGAATATTTATATATTTATGGGCTGAATATTTATATATTTATAGGCAAAATGTCTATAAATTTATAGGCAAAATATATATTTATGGGCTGAATATTTATATATTTATGGGCTGAATTTTATATATTTATGGGCAGAATATTTATATATTTATAGCCAGAATTTTATATATTTATGGGCAGAATTTTATATATTTATGTGCAGAATATTTATACATTTAAAGGCAGAACATTTAGGGGGCGGGTTTCAGGGGTGCTGAGCTCGGGGCAGGGTCCCCGGGGCTGTGGGGTGGTGTCAGTGGGTGTGCTGACGCGCTGTCCCCATCCCAATTCCCGACGGCTGCGCCGGGAACGCTCAGAGGACGCCTATAAAATCCGGATCCGCATCGACGACGAGCCCGCCAACCTGGACATCCTGGACACGGCGGGGCAGGTGCGTGGGCAGTGACTGGAGGGAGTCTGGAAGGAGCAGGGGGAGGGACACAAAATCCTGGGAAAAATGGGAGGTTTTTTGAGCTCTGTTCCTGCTTCCGCCTGGGGTGGGAATTGGGATATCCCAATCCCCTCCCGAGGTGTCCCAGTCCCCTCCCAGAATGTCTCAGTCCCTCTGGGATATCCCAGTCCCCTCCTGGAATGTCCCAGTCCCCTCCTGGAATGTCCCAGTCCCTCTGGGATATCCCAATCCCCTCCCAAGGTGTCCCAGTCCCCTCCCGAGGTGTCCCAGTCCCCTCCCGGAATGTCCCAGTCCCCTCCCGGAATGTCCCAGTCACTCCCGGGATATCCCAGTCCCCTCCCGAGGTGTCCCAGTCCCTCTGGGATATCCCAATCCCCTCCCGGAATGTCCCAGTCCCTCCTGGGATATCCCAATCCCCTCCCGAGGTGTCCCAGTCCCCTCCCAGAATGTCTCAGTCCCTCTGGGATATCCCAGTCCCCTCCCAGGGTGTCCCAGTCCCTCTGGGATATCCCAATCCCCTCCCAAGGTGTCCCAGTCCCTCTGGAATATCCCAGTCCCCTCCCAGGGTGTCCCAGTCCCTCCTGGGATCTCCCAATCCCCTCCCAATGTGTCCCAGTCCCCTCTCAAGGTGTCCCAGTCCCCTCCCAGGGTGTCCCAGTCCCCTCCCGGAATGTCCCAGTCCCTCCTGGGATATCCCAGTCCCCTCCCAAGGTGTCTCAGTCCCTCTTGGGATCTCCCAATCCCCTCTCAAGGTGTCCCAGTCCCCTCCCAAGGTCTCCCAGTCCCCTCCTGGAATGTCCCAGTCCCTCTGGGATATCCCAGTCCCCTCCCAAGATGTCCCAGTCCCCTCCCGGAATGTCCCAGTCCCTCTGGGATATCCCAGTCCCCTCCCAGGGTGTCCCAGTCCCTTCCTGGGCTGTCCCAGTTCCCTCCTGGGATGTCCCAGCCCCTCCTGGGCTTTCCCAGTTCCTCCTGGGATGTCCTGACCCCTCTTGGGATGTCCCAGTCCCTTCCCAGGGTGTCCCAGTCCCTTCCCGGGGTGTCCCAGTCCCTTCCCAGGGTGTCCCAGCCCTTCCCAGGGTGTTCCAGTCCCTTCCTGGGCTGTCCCAGTCCCTTCCCGGGGTGTCCCAGTCCCTTCCTGGGCTGTCCCAGTCCCTTCCCGGGCTGTCCCAGTCCCTTCCTGGGGTGTTCCAGTCCCTTCCTGGGCTGTCCCAGTTCCCTCCCGGGCTGTGTCAGCCCCTTCCTCCTCCTCCTCTTCCCGCATCCCTGCAGGGCTGTTCACTTGGAGCCCCGGGAATGGGAGGGGAACTGGGATCCAGCGGGATCCTGCCCCGAGGTCCCCCCTGGGATCCTCAGGGATCCATCCCCAGCTGGATCCAGACACGGAACCGATCCCGCTGTGGGGCCTCGATCCTGACCCGATCCTGGGGGAGAAGAAAAAGGGAATGTGGGGAAAATGGGAATATCTGTGCTGGGGGAACTCCCGCTCCCACGCCAGGGGGGTTTCCCTCCCCTCGGGGACCATCCCAGGAGCGCCTGGGCCGGGAACGTCGGTGACCGGGGCGGGAGATTCCGGGGCGAGGTGACCTGGAGCGGGAATTCCGCCTTTCCAGGCGGAGTTCACGGCCATGAGGGACCAGTACATGAGGGCGGGCGAGGGCTTCATCATCTGCTACTCCATCACCGACCGGCGCAGCTTCCACGAGGTGCGGGAGTTCCGGCAGCTCATCTACCGCGTGCGCCGCACCGACGACACGCCCGCCGTGCTGGTGGGCAACAAATCCGACCTGTCCCAGCTGCGCCAGGTGAGGAAATCCAGAGGTTTCCAACGCTCCCTCTCCTCGTCTCCCGGCCGGGCGCGGAGCCCGGGGCGTGGTTCGGGGTTTGACCGTTCCCGGGTTTGTCCTCGGGGTGGAATTCCTGGTTTCCTGGGGTGGGGGAGAGCCTGGAAAACCCCCCCCGTGCTCTGGGTTGATCCCACAGCACTGGCAGGGGTGGATTCTGAGAGGCCAAGCCCTGGGATTCCCGGAGCGGGAAGGGCCTGGAGCTGTTGGAGCTGATCAGAGGGATGGAGCAGCGCTGCCCAGAGGGAAAGGCTGGGATGGGTCAGCCTGGAGAGGAGAAGGCTCTGGAGTGACCCAGCTGTGGCCTTCCAGGGGCTTCAAACTGACAGGGTTAGGTGGGATATGGGGAAGGAATTCCCCCCTGGGAGGGGGGGCAGGCCCTGGCACAGGTTGGGCAGAGAAGCTGTGGCTGCTCCTGGATCCCTGGACGTGTCCAAGGCCAGGTTGGACAGGGCTTGGAGCAACCTGGGACAGCTGAAAGCGTCCCTGCCCATGGCAGGGCGTGGAATTAGTTGATTTTGAGGTCCCTTCCATCCCAAAGCATTCCATGATCCTAAAGGAGGTGCATCAGGAGAACTTGGATAAGGATGGACAGAGAGGAAAAGTGACTTCCAGCTGGAGAAGGCAGTGGGAAAACAACCTGGGGGCCAAGCTTCCCTCGGGGTGTGTGGGGGGGGAGACCAGTGCCTTGGAAAACCAGTGCCTTGGAAAAGCAGTGCCTTGGAAATCCAGTGCCTTGGAAAAGCAGTTCCAGAGGTGCCAGTTTTACACCTGGAATTAGATAAACTTTCGCTGGGGATCAGATCCCGGTGCCGGGGGACGGAGAGGATGGGGCGAGGAGCAGGAGGAGAGGGGAGCACCTTCAGCTGCCCGAGCTCCGAGGGAAGGAATATCCTTTCCAAAGGGTGTTGTTTCCTGAGTATCCTTTCCAAAGGGGGGTGTTTCCTGAGTATCCTTTCCAAAGGGTGTTGTTTCCCGAGCGCCCAGGGAAAGGGGGCGAGTGGAAACAGGGATGGATTTAGCGGAGAAAGCTTTGGAGAAGGGCGGGAACTGGGAGGGTCCTGGTGACAGCGAGGCACGGAATAAACCCACCAGGCTTGGCTTCCCTGAGCTGGTGGGGGGTTTGTTCTCCAAGGTGTCCAAGGAGGAAGGCTCTGCCTTGGCCAGGGAGTTCAACTGCCCCTTCTTCGAGACGTCGGCCGCCTACCGCTACTACATCGACGACGTCTTCCACGCCCTGGTCAGGGAGATCCGCCGCAAGGAGAGGGAGGCCGTGGTGGCCATGGAGAAGAAATCCAAGCCCAAGAGCAGCGTGTGGAGGAGGCTGAGGTCGCCCTTCCGCAGGAAGAAGGACTCGGTCACCTGAGCCGGGGGTGGGAGGAGAGGAGAAGCTCCAGCGGGAGAACGGAACGAGAATTTCCTTCCCCCACCATGAGTGGTTCTGGAGTGTCTCGAGGGACACAACGCCCCTGAGGGGACTCTGAGAGGGAGCCAGTGACTCTGCCAATTATTTCTGTTTTAGGATGAGATTCCCTTGATTCTGGACCTCGGATTTGGGGCACGGCAACGCTTTCACTCCTCTTTGTGGGCATTTTGGTTTCACCCTCACCGGGCCCGGCCTGTGTTGGTTTTTGGGGCGTCCATGGGTTCATGGCCCCCACTTTGTGGAGCCAGACCGGGTGCTGGGAGCTGGGCTGTGTGAAACGTGGCTGCAGCTGCCCCCAAACCAGGCAGAATTCCTTGTTCTTCCCGAGCTGCTCTCCGGGAGAACCGCCCAGAGCTCGAGGGGCGGCCAAGCAGGGCTGGGCTGGACTTCTTGTCTTCTCACTGAGGAGCTTTTGGGGTCTTTTTTCCCAGCAAAATCGATGTGGATACCTGTGGAGGTGTTACCTGAGTGGTCTCAGCTCATCAGCAGTCGTGGGTGGGACCTGGACCCGTCAGAGTGACAGAATTTGGGAGGTCAGGGAGGACCTCTGAGGTCCTCGAGCCCAGCCCTGGACCCTCCACCACCACAATCCAGTCCTTTCAGACACCTCCAGGGGCTCCAGCACCTCCCTGGGCATCCCTGGGTGCTCCTCTGGGAGCAAATCACCCATTAAAAGCCCAGAACAGGGCTGGGAATTCTGATGGTTTTAAGATCCTCGTGCAGGATTGAATTTGGCTGAGCTGTGTTAACTTTGAGCTGAATTTTTTTTTTAGGGGGTGGGTTTTTCCACCTCTCCCCTCCTTTGCAGTGCTGTAATCACAGAATAACCCCCTCCACCACCCCCCAAAAAAAAAAAAAAAGAATATGTGCTTTGAGAAAGGCTGAGAATAATTCAGATTGTTCAGAATTTAAGACTCCTCTGTGCTGCCTGTGGGTCTTCAGTCCTCACTGAAGTTCCCAGTCCCTCCTTGTTGGATTAAAAACTGCCCAGAACTGGGATAAAAAAAAAACATCTGGCAGAAAACAGGGGGAGAAGGAGGAGGCAGCAGCTCAGGAGCTGCTCTAAATCCTGTGCTGGCTGTTTCAGAGCCCCTAAGGAGCTCCCAGGTGCTTTTCCCTCCCCCTTCCCCCAGCTCAAATCCCGCTCCACGGGTCAAGGGAGACCCTCCAGAGGTGCTGAACCCCCCTGGAGCTCCAAATTTTAAAATTCTGTGCCTTACCTGAGCCCTGCCAGGAGGTTTTTTTGGGTGTTCCCCGATGCCCTTTGCTTGTAGAGAACCCCGAGAGCCAGAACAGCAGAGAGCACTTTCTTTTTAATTTCTTTTACTTGGTTTTTTTTTTGTTGTTGTTTTGGGTTTTTTGGGGTTTTTTTGTTTGTTTTGACACAGAGGTTTTATTTTTTGTCACCTGCAGAGGTTTGTACACAGGGCTGATTGTTTTATTTGACACTATATATATATATATATGATTTTTAATACGAGCTCTTTGCCTCGGGTCTGTTAATGCAGGGTGGGGCTGAAGGGAGGAGGGAGGAAAGCTCGGGGTGTAAATTGTGTTGGGAGATGCTTCTCCTGCTTGAGGGGGGTGGAAAAAAGGCCTTGGCACTTTTTTTTTGGGAGGTTTGGCTGATGGGTTTTTTTTTTCCCCCCCACGTGGCTGTTGATCCTTTTGGGATGAGCCACTCCAGGACCAGGGGAATCCAAGGGATCGTCCCCACCAGCCCTGCCGGGATGAGGGGAGAGGTGGAGGTGTTGGGGGATATCCCAGAGGGGGAAAGGGGCATTTTGGGGTGGTTTCAGGGTTTTTTTTTTCCTTTTCTGCCACTTCCTCGTGCTCTGCCATTCCCTGGTCTCTGTTTGGTCTCTCCCTGAGGGTTGGGGAATCCTAAAATCCCGGAATCCCTGAGGATTGGGAATCATCCTGCCCACCCCTGTGCCACGCCCCGGGCTCTTCCCAAAACACCCCCGGGGATTTTTGGGGGCTCCCAAACCTCCCTGGGCAGCCCCAACCCCTCTCCTGTCAGGGAATTCCAGAGCCCTGAGCCCCCCCAGCTCCTCGCGGGCTCTGGGAGGGTCTGGCCCGGCTCCTAAAATCCGTTTTGGAGCCTTTCCAAGCCCCGACAAAGAGGAGTCGCCTCGAGGGGCTCGTTCCGTGCCCCGCGGAGCGTTTTAATGAGGGGGAAATCAGATTTTCCCTTCCTCCCCACACCCCGGTCCGGCGGGTCCCGGGAGCTCCCGCAGGAGCCGCAGCTTTTCCTGCCGCATCTTCCAGGGAAATGCCGGCCCCGATTCCCATCGCCCCTGGCAGCGGGAGCCGCTCCCGCAGGGAATGCCGCGGGGCTGGAGCGGGAGGGACCCGAGTGTGCCCGGAGAGGAGCCAAACCCCGCTGCTTCCAGGGAAAGGTGGGATCCAGGGATCCAGGGCTGAGCTTGCACGCTCTGCACGACCCCCTTCCCTTCCCTTCCCTTCCCTTCCCTTCCCTTCCCTTCCCTTCCTTCCCTTCCCTTCCTTCCTTCCCTTCCTTCCTTCCCTTCCTTCCCAAACCTTCCCAAACCTTCCCAAACCTTCCCAAACCTTCCTTCCTTCCCAAACCTTCCTTCCCTTCCTTCCTTCCCAAACCTTCCAAACCTTCCCAAACCTTCCTTCCCAAACCTTCCTTCCTTCCAAACCTTCCCTTCCCAAACCTTCCCTTCCCAAACCTTCCCTTCCCAAACCTTCCCTTCCCAAACCTTCCCTTCCCTTCCCTTCCCAAACCTTCCCAAACCTTCCCTTCCCAAACCTTCCCTTCCCAAACCTTCCCAAACCTTCCCAAACCTTCCCTTCCCAAACCTTCCCTTCCCAAACCTTCCCTTCCCAAACCTTCCCAAACCTTCCCTTCCCAAACCTTCCCAAACCTTCCCTTCCCTTCCCAACCCTTCCCAACCCTTCCCAAACCTTTCCTTCCCTTCCCAAACCTCCCCAAACCTTCCCAAACCTTCCCTTCCCAAACCTTCCCTTCCCAAACCTCCCCAAACCTTCCCTTCACTTCCCAAACCTTCCCAAACCTTCCCTTCCCAAACCTTCCCTTCTTCCTTCTTTCCTTCCCTTTCCTTCTTCCCTTCCTTTCTTACCTTTCCTTCCCCTTCCTTTCCTTCCTTCTTTCCTTTCTTTCTTCCCTTCCTTCCCTTTCCTTTCTTTCTTTTCCTTCCCCATCCTTCCTTCCCTCCTTTCCTTCTTTCTTTCCTTCCTTCCCTCCCTCTCCTTCTCCTCCTTTTCCTCATGCAAATCCCTTTGTTTCTGCTCTCCTGGACCTGGGTAAGAACCTCAAAACGTCCGGTTTTTTTTCCAGCCTGGACGTGCAGGAGTCGAGCAGAGATTTTATTTATTTATTTATTTTCCCTCTCACGTTTTTCACAATTAAAATAAACCGGAGAATAAATCGGCGGCCGTGCGGTAACTGCCGGGCAATCAGAACCGCTGAGCGATGACCGGGGTTGTCAACAAACAACTGGGAGTGATGAAAAACCGGTGCAAGAACATCCAAATAACGAGGAGGCACCGAGGATAAAAGAACCACCGGGATTCAAATCCCTGCACGAGCACCGGGGGATGGAACCTCCTCCTTTCGGATCCCCACCCTGGGCTTCGGGGCTTTGCTGCTGCTTGGGAAGCTCCCCAAAATAAATAAATAAATTTAAAAAAAAAGAGGGAAGAAAGGCCCTGGCAGAGTTTGTTGCTGGGGAAACCCAGCCCGGCGCTGTTGGGTTTTCCAAAGCCGGGCTCTGTGCCCGGCTCTGGGTGGTGCTGACGGGGCAGCTGCGGGAAAACAAACCCCGGGAGCCGCATCCCGGAGGAAAATGTGCCTGGAGGATTCGGGTTCGGCCGAGGGAGCCGGGAATGCCCCTGGATTGCGAATTCCGGAGTGAAGCGGCTCCTTTTTATGTCCTTTTCTTTTGTTTTTCTACCTTCCCCCCCCAACTTGGATTGAGCCAATGAATTCATCGCCCGCGGACATCCATTTACATCCTTTTACATCCATTTACATCCATTTACAGCAATTTATAGCCGGAGTTTTGGGACGGGCTGAGGCTTTCATGGGATGGCAGACGGTGCTGGAATAAGGAATGGAACGCCGGTGTTGTCGGAGGATCGTGGTGGGGAGGGGCCTCAAAAATCATTTTATTCCCACTGGCAGAGCCACCTCCCCCTGTCCTGGGTGCCTCGGGACGGGGAATAACCCGCGCCAGGCCATTTAAATCCGATTTAAACCTTCCCTCCTCCACCTGGAAGCCGCTCCCCCTCGTCCCGTCGCTCCGAGCCCTCGGGAATGATCTCCCTCCTCCCCCCAGGCCACGGCGACCCCAAAAACTCCCCCTCCCCACCCCACACTTCAATTTTCCCCCCCATTTCCCGGCATCCCGAGGTTTTTTCAGCCCCCAGGAGGGCTCAGGTTTTTTTTTTCCCCCCCATTTCCCGGCACCCCGAGGTTTTTTCAGCCCCCGGAGGGCTCAGTTTGGTTTTTTTTTTCCCACCCCTCAGCACGAAGCAGCTCGGGCAGAGCGGGGTAAAGTGATTTAGTTTTTTTATTTGCACGCCTCGATGTGCGTCAAACAAATCCAACATACAAGGTAGCGTTACAGGATGTAGGTTAGCTGATAGCGTTATGCAGTCGCACACAGGTTTGAGAGTTACTTTTTTTCCTTTTTTTTTTTTTTAATTTTTTTTCTTTTTCCTATCCTTTTTTTTTTAATTTTTTTGGTGTTTTTTAATTTTTTTGTGGTTTTTTTTTTTCCCCACACAAAGTTGTAACTGTCCATTTTACGATAGAAGACACAAGGTAAAGAATAAACCACACCCGGGAGATTTTTTTTTTTTTTATACAGTGAACTCTGCTGTCACTTACTGTCCATTTTACGTCTCAAAAAAATATATATATATATCTGCACATCTTCAGTCTCCTATTATTCCGGAAGAGTGGTGGAGCTACTCCTACCTGCCCGACAGCCTAAATCTATTTACCCTGAGCATGTTTCCTTGACAAGAAATTCATCTTTTCCTTTGCAACTAAAGGAATCCTCTAGGCTTGCACATGCTTTTCACACCGAGGGGGGGAGATGGGAGGGGGGAAATTCCCTTGTTTTTTTTAAGGTCCCGGTCAGATTGTTTGTTTTTTGTGTGTTTTTTTTTGGGGGGGGGCGGTGTTGGAAAGCATGTTTGGAGAGGGAAAGTTCGTGGCCGTCGCCAAATTTCAGCAACGCGATCGTTTAGCGCAAAAACAAAACCCAAACAAAACCAAAACAAACCAAAACGAAACGAAAAGAACCCCAAAACCCACAAGGATTTAAACGGATCTGCAGCCACTTCCAAAGGGGATGGAGGGAGGGAGGGAATTCCTTCCCTGGGCCACCAAGAGCTGGGAAGATTTTTAAGATTAAAAAAAACGACTCTCCCCTCTCAGGCAGAAAGGCAGTAAAGGAGGAGTAAAGTCCGTGCTGTGCCTGTGCCAGGGCTGAGAAATAATAAATCTGCAGCCTCCCCATCACCTGGGAGCGAGGAAGAGCTCAGCTCTCCAGAAGGAATTCCTTGGGAAGCTGCTGCTTCACTGGGAGGGACTGGGAGGGACTGGGAGGGACTGGGAGGGACTGGCTCAGTCCCGAGCACGGAGCTGGAAAGGTTCATTTTCCCCACAGGGCTCTAAAAGGAGCTAAATTATCTTAATTTTATTTTTTGTTTGTTTTTAAATCCCAGCCCATGGTTTGCATCCCAGGGGCTGCCTGAAATCCCGGGAATCTTCCCCCAGCAGCCTCTCGGCAAACTCGCTCCGTGTTTCCACTTGCAGGGTCCTTAGAAGGGATTATTATTTTTAATTTTTTTTTTTGCCACCAATTATTTGCTGCTGGGTCATGAATTATGACCTTTTATCTCCTCTTTCACCAGCTGACTCGAGGGGGGTGGGTGAAGGGAAGCTTTGGAATCCTCTCTGACACACAGAGCTCTTCCCCTTCCCATCCCAGCCTGGGACAGAATTCATCAGCCAGGAATTCCAGGATTTAAACACTGGAGGGTTTTCCTCACCTTGGGAAACGCACAGGGGGGGTCCAATAAAACCCAAATCCAGGCAGATTTTTGGAATCCTGTGGGACTTTGCACGTGGCAAAAGCAGCGGGAGCGGCTGGAGTTGGGATTCGAGAGGCGACTCTTGGGGCTGTCGTGACCTTCCAGCTCCCCAAAAACCCGAGGATTTCAGTGCCTGACAACAGAACTGCTTCTTCCCTGCAGGCCAGTGCCATCTTCCCTGTGTTCTCCTCTCGTGCCAGTGCAGAATTCCCACCCCCAGCTCGCCCTGAAGCGGGGCTGGGGCTCCCGGCACGGAACGGAACCCGCGGGCAGGAAAACCAACAAGAAACCAGAGGTCAAACAGCAGAACCCAGAAATTGTGGGAGGAGGGAGGGGGAAAAAAGGAGGGGGAGAAGCCTAATAAAGACAGGCCAGTCTTGGTGA